TATATATATATATATATATATATATATTATATATATATATAATATATATATATACACACCTGTGTTTTAACAGCATTGAAGTAGAATAACTACAGCGTGGCAGCTGTATATGTTGCTAAACAACGGGAATACAGCTCTTAACGTCTGTAAAGTTTAAAACATTCACTTTTCACACATGTTAACCAGCAAAATACCAACAATAAGACATGGATACGTCTCTAAGTATTTCTGTTTATTTCACTGTAGCCATTTCTCCCATAAGCCAGCAGCCTGAACCTGCCGCTGGTGGGTGTTAGTCAGATGTCCACAAAGTTTCTGTTTTACGCAAAGAGAAGTTCAGAGGAAATGAAAGTGAAACTAGCTACAGCTCATCCACCCTTGGACAGATAAAGATTGTGTCGCTGCTGTGTTACTCAGTCAAACTGCTCGTCCGGCTCTTCATGGCCATGTTTAACTTCAACCTGCTTTATTCTGCGTATGGGTGGTTTCGGCGCACAATGTGTTTCTTTTGGCGCTTCACGAAAAGAATATTCAATCCTATATACGAATATTTATTTGTACGCATACCCTGGCGAAAGGGCACCGGAAGCCAAGCGGAGCTTGAAGTAAACGCCGAAGACATTCCTACGGAGAGACGTTTCTCAGACCAGGACGAGGAGTCTCACAGCCCTGAGGGTCAACATGAGGCTGCCTGCAGAGAGAGGACCGCGGACTCCCACCGGGAGCTCACCTGCAAGCGGCCGAGGTTTGAGGAAGACGGCGACGAGTATCGAGTTGAACCCACGGACGAGTTGTACTGTGGTTATGACTCGACATGGGAGACCGAGGAGCCTCAGAGGGGAAAGGTCACGAGGACCAAACGACCAGCAGTGTATAATGTGAGTGAACCAGAGGCCTGCTGCTTTTTCTAATTTTAGGCCTGCACTGGTATCACTTCCTGTTTGATGCGTCTTTCTTGATCTAATTGTGACCTTATTTAGTTTTATATATAATCTGTTTTATATATAATATAATCTCCTTCTACTCATGTGGGGTATTACTTCACTGTCATTTTAAGACTTTTTTTGTGTGTGTGGGGGGGGGGCAAATGTGACTTGGCAATATTTACTGCAGTGTTCATTGTTAGGCCTCCTATAACCATTGAATGTCTTGAGTTTAAACTGACCTTCGTTTATTTTCTGTGTACCAGTACATGTTCGACAGATTTGAAAACGCCGCAAAAGACATGCAGAACTACAGGCATGACTACCCTGTAAGTACACACACACACACACATGCACACACACACACACACACACACACACACACACACTGTCCCATGTGTAAGTGTTTTTCTTTTATCTTTCCCTACAGTCTCCGGTCAGGCAGCAACGCAGGAATCAAGTATCTGTAAGTACACAAATGGTGATTGTGTGTCTATGTGACTTATCATATGACATGGTTATTTCTGAGATTTAAAAAAATGGAAGTGCAACTCTCTTTTCTGTTGATTAGGACGCCAAGCCTAATCTGCAGTTCTACCTCGGAATGAAGTGCTCAGTACCTGACGGTAGGCCGGCAGTTACAAGCACATGACTCAAGCAAGCTCTACATTTGTCAAATCAAGTGTCCTGCCTTATAAATCTGCATCTGAAAAAACAAGTTTTTTTAAAATCAAGAATAAGGATTAATTCAAGCTGTGGTGTCTGCATGTCCCCACTCATCACAGGACAAGTCTGTGAGCATCTCACGTTGTTACATTTGAATAACTTTTAATGCCCTGAAGAAGTAAAACAGTTTGGTATTTCACTAGAGAGCAGCAATGATGACGATAGAAAAGTAAGGAAAGAAAAAACATAATCTTGTACAGCAGGAACATCTGGTCTGGATTCATCTCAATCTGTAAATCTATTCTAACATATATCTACTAATGGATTTCCTCGTGGTACTTTGTATTTGTCATCAGGTGTCTATATAGATGGTTTCCACACAGACTGGTATGGCCAGTATAACAGCCTGGAGTCTGTACACTCCTACATTCAGTGGTAAGTTACTCTATAATCACAGGTGTAATTTAAAATGATTACTTCCTGTTCATACCAATAATTTGTCTCTCTCAAAGGTTGTTCCCACTGCAGGAACCAGGGATGAACTATGAGGCCAGTACACTGACAAAAGAAGAAATAACGGTAAACTGCTAAAAGCTAGTGAGTTCAAATCTCAAAAAGAAATTCTTCACATATTCTGACAAGGTGGTCTCCTTTTCTTCTTCAGGAGTTTTGTCAAAGCAACACCGCGAAGGCGAACCTGGTGAAGTCGTACAAGCTCATGTTGGACTTCTACGGTATCGAGTTGTGTGATGAAGAAACCGGAGAAGTCAAGAGAGCATTTAACTGGAGAGACCGATTCAACAACCTCAACAGGTGATTTTTAATCAAACAAATTGTTCACTAGAAGTAACAAAAGCATCTAAGAAACGTCTTTTTGTTTTTTTGTTGCCTTTTTACTGTTTGTCATTGGACAGCCGATTGCATAACAACCTGCGCATCACCCGCATCCTGAAGTGCCTGGGAACCCTTGGGTACCGTCACTATCAAGCCCCCCTGGTCCGCTTCTTCCTGGAGGAGACGCTCGTCCACGGGCAACTCCCAGATGTCAAGATCAGTGTTCTCAACTACTTTTTGTTCGCCGTCCTCGATAAGAGAGAACGCAGGAGTCTCATCAAGTTTGCCTATTTTCGCTATGACCGTAAAGAGGAGTTTGTATGGTGCCCCAAGAAGATTCAAACGATATGGTCACAGCAGGGAATCTAAGGCAGGAAAGAGGCTTGTGAGCTCGACCTGAATCGTGTGAGTCTGTACAATGAAGACAAAAGCCAGGATGGAGAAAATTAAGCTGAGACAGCATAATCTGCTAATGTATACTCTTACTATACAGCATGTACGGCATACAGATCGTCACAGATACAGGAAGAGGAAATGATTCGATACATGATATTGGTTGTCAATCAGACCGCTTCACAAATAGACACAAACATGTTTTTTTTTTCTAGTTTGTAGTTTGGATTTGGGACACGCCTTGTGCAGATTAAATATCCAGCCCTGAAGAAAATGTCACAGAGATTCAAAGCTGCAAAGGTAGACTAGACAGGGGGCAGTGACGATTCATTATTATCCAGCGATGTAGAGACCGATGCAAATACTGGCTGATCTTCCTCAGTAGTCCATGCAGTGGTTTATTGTGCAATTATGTATGCAAATATTTTTGTTTACTTTAATTCTCACAATTAGGTTTCTGGACTTCTATTCTTGTGTTATTCAGTTTCATTCTCTCTCTCTCTTTAATCTTGAATTTCACAAAGAAAAAGATGCAATATTCTGACCTGTAAAAAGGTCAATTGTAATAAAAGAGCTTCTGTCAGCTTGTGGATAAGTAGGGCAAATGAAGAATTTAAAGGAATTGCTCACCAGTTTGTGGTTAATAAACTGTAAACAATTGTCCGATTCTATCGTCTGATGAATTCTGTTTTCATATCTGTAGGGTCACATCCTGTTTTCCTGATCACTGATCTCTCACCCTTGCATTTGTTCCTAAAGTAGAAGCATTATGCATTTTACTAGGATTAGATTCACATAACACTGAAATACAGATAGCAAAAAACAATGTCAAACAGTGGTTGTGTACTGGTAGTACCTGAAAGAGAAGGTAGATTCTACCATCAGTTCTGTGTTTGGGGGACTTGTGTTTCTGCTTAACTGCAGTAAAGTGACCTGATGATTTAGGAGCAGGGAGAAACTTTTTTTTTCATGTATTAATCCTGATAAAGGATTTGGTTTTAGAAATATTTATGTCTTCCCCTCACCAGGTTTCTCCACCTTTCAGACGTAAGGTTACATATTATACGTCTCCTGAGCAGCTAATTATATTGGCGGCGCTGCAACAGCCTAGACCAATTGCCATTGGTCTAACTGGATGTCATGTGACACCTTACGACCAAGAACTGCTCCGAGCTGTGTTACAAGTTGCATTCTTTTTGTACATACTGCAGCTTTACGCAGTATGCATTTAATTAGGACCTACTACCTTGTCATTACACCTTGAACTTGAATCCTCTTGCTCATATATCTGCTGTGCAAAGGATTGTGGGTCAGAAAACCAGGCTGGATTGCATACTGCAAAATGCGATTGGCTACAGTAGAACATCCTGGTGTTTTTGGCATAAAGCATTTGACATGAAACGAAGAACTTGTACTATCCAATCCCGATGTGAAAGCTAAGCAAATTCACATTTTACCATTTTTAAAAATGTTATGACAACAGACGCACGTATTTCATCAACGGTGTTTAATTGGTCGAGCTCAAACAAAATCAGGACATTTCATGAACAACCATAGATGGGATGTATACTGTAGATAGTTGGAGCCTTTAAGTTCAATGCTGCTGGACATATAAACACACATCTGTGTGTAAACAGTGTTTCCTTAACCGTCACATTATCCATCTCAGATATATGGCTTTTATTTTCTCTACTTAGAAAAGTATGATTAAAAACATCAGTATATACACAAATACATTCATATTTACATATTGCAAATGGTGCGTTACTCGGTTACATTATGTTCTTAAAAAAAACCTGCCTGGACAGGAGAAAGGTTCATAATAGAATTCAGTAGCCTACTTAATACATTTAGTAGACAAGCAACTTAGATGACCCTCGTTTTTTTTTGTTTTTCAAATGTGATAAAACGAAGTTAGAAACCTTTAAGTGACAAAAAGAATACAAACATTATCAATGTTTTTTTTCTAGTACGAACACAAATGTGGAACTTTAACGAAATACTGCTCATCTACATTTACAGTGATACAACTGGTGATAGATTGAAGTGTCTCAAAACCATTATGTAGTGTCCATAAAACAGACTAGGACATGTTCTTGTCATTTTCTGCAGTTTTCTCTCCCTTCCTGGTTGTATCATTTTTACTGTCTTTTTTCTCCTCTCGCTTTTCTCTGCTTCTGCTCTTGTCCCGACGATCCTTGTCTTTGTCCTTGTCCCTATCTTTCTCCCTTTCCTTGTCTCTGGCCCGGTCTTTCCCACGGTCTCTGTCCCTGTCTCGTTCTCTGCTTCGGGATCTGTCCCGTCTCCTGTCTCGTTCCCGTTCCCGGTTTTTCCCTCTATCGCGGTCAGAATCCCTCCTGTCAGAATCCCTGACTCTGTCTCTGTCCCGGTCTCTCCTCTTATCTGTGTCTTGATCCCTATGTCGCTCTCCCTCCGTCTCCCGGTGCCTCTCGCCCTCCTTCGCTCTGCTGCGGTCTCTCTCTTGGCCACGCTCTGGATCGCGATCTCTTTCTCGAGTGCGCTCCGGATCGCGATCTCTTTCTCGGGTGCGCTCCTGATCGCGGTCTCTTTCTCGGGTGCGCTCCTGATCGCGGTCTCTTTCTCGGGTGCGCTCCTGATCGCGGTCTCTTTCTCGGCCACGCACTGGATCGCGGTCTTTCTCCCGGCTACGATCATGATCTCTTTCTGGAAGACGCTCCGAATCTTGATCTCTTTCTCGAGGACGCTCCGGATCGCGATCTCTCTCTCTGGTTCGCTCCGGATCGCGATCTCTCTCTCTGGTTCGCTCCGGATCGGGATGTCTTTCTCTGGTTCGCTCCGGATCGGGATGTCTTTCTCTGGTTCGCTCCGGATCGGAATGTCTTTCTCTGGTTCGCTCCGGATCGGGATCTCTTTCTCTGGTTCGCTCCGGATCGGGATCTCTTTCTCTGGTTCGCTCCGGATCGGGATCTCTTTCTCTGGTTCGCTCCGGATCGCGATCTCTTTCTCGCATTCGCTCAGGATCACGGTCTTTTTCTCGGCTACGCTCAAGATCGCGCTCTTTTTCTCGGCTACGCTCAGGATCGCGGTCTCTTTCACGGATTCGCTCAGGATCGCGGTCTCTTTCTCGGATTCGCTCCGGATCGCGATCTCTGCCCCGGCTTCGCTCCAGATCGCGGTCCCTTTCTCTGGTTCTATCCCACTCTCTCTCTCTGCTCCACCGCTTGCCTTGTTCCCTGTCCCATGATGGCCTCCCGGCGTGGGGGACTTCCCGCTCTCTTTCTCTCCGGCAGTCCTCGGACAGCTCCCTCTGTCTCTCTTCAGAGGGTTGAGAAGGACCAGGAGCAGGTTCTCTGTGCCCTCCTTCAAAGCGACTGAAGAGATCTCCGATGCGTGGGTCTGATTCCTCTCGGGTGGTGCTGCTCCTCCTCCTCATTTCAGGAGAGTGGCGGCGCCAGGGTTCGTCCCGGTGCATATCAGGACTATGGGCTCCCATGCGACTTGGGGGACCTATGGGAGCCTCTGGAGGAGTTGGCAGTAGGGGCCCACTGTGACGAACAGGTCTAGCCTCATCAGAATGCCTATCTAAGCGGTATCGCTCTGATCCGCCAAAACGCTGTGAAGGGTGGGGTCTATTCTCCGGAGGGAGAGGACCTCGGTGCTCATCAAACGATCCTCGATGTGGTGGTGAGGAGTGTGGTCTGGAGCTCTCGTATTGGTTATGTGGATTGAAGTGCTGTCCGCTCATCTCGCTGCTAGAAGGTGGGCCTCTTCTGTCCTCATACTGATTAGATGGAGGTCCTCGGTATGCTGGAACTGGCAGGGGACCATGATTGTCTTTAAAAATATGGAGAGGGTTTGGATTCTGGTCCACACTTAGCTTGAAAGAGTTAGAATTGTCTCTGTTGTAGTGTTCTGCAGGGCCTCGAGGTTGGTCTACAATCGGGGGTTGAGCCCCATGGTCACCGTACTGCGATGGCGGGGGACCCCTGGGCCCTGGGAAGTGGGACGGAGGAGGGAGTCTGTTTTCAAAGTGACTGGGAGGTGGCCCCGTGAAAAGTGCAGGACCTCTGTTTGCAGGGAAATTAAATGGTGGTGGAGGACCAGTGAATCTTTGTGGAGGTAAACTGTTCTGTCCATCAAAAGGCGGTGGTGGAAGGCCTGGAGGGAGGCCTTGCTGTCCAATGTGCTGTGGGGGAATGGAGGGGTTGAACATTTGAGGAGCAGGGCCCCTCTGGGCCATTGGAGAGAATGGTGGTGGTCCTCTGAGTGGCATGATATTCTGGGGAGGTGGTCCAGGAGGAGGCTGCTGCGGTGGTGGTTGGGAGCCTGGCCACTGGTTCTGATAGGGAGCGTATGCAGTCGGAGGCGGACCGTATTGCTGGCTGATGTCAACCTGCATGGGGAGAGGACCACGTACAAGGGGAGGAACATGCATGGACGGAGGGGGTCCCTGCATAGGAGGGGGGCCTGACATTGGAGGAAGACCTTGCATTGGTGGAGGCATAGACATCGGAGGAGGTCTTATCATCAGGTTTTGTCCCTGCATCAGATGGTGTGGGGGGAAGTTGGATGGTGGGGGAATGTCAGCTGGAGGTCTATACTCGCTGTCATAGACTGACGCCGACATGTGACGCGGCATGTGATAAGGCTCTAGCGATTTGGGAGTGTCAACCATTGCTGTGCTCTGAGTGAGTACTGGGATTGTCAAAGGTATTGTGTTTGTTGGCTCATCATAATAACTGGCGGTTGATGCATCTTGACTATTCTCCTCATAATCGGAGTCTTCATTAGCTTTTAAAATACTGGCAGCATTCGGCCAAATACTATACATGTCCATCTCAGTTTCTATCTTGATAGGCTCAGCTTCCTCAGATTTCACTTCTGTGTCATCCATGTAGTTGACCTCCATATCAGGTTCCACCTCCTCTCCTAATAACGGAATTGCTACATCCGCCTCATCTGACTGCAGGAAGGGTAACGTCTCACTTTTAACTTCCTCATGAGGCAGGGATGTATCTGGGCCTTGTGAGGAGTCTGGGAGTTCAGTTACATTAGACAGCTGATGTTCCTGAACCACAGCTTGTAAGAAAGGAGTCGAATCCACCAACGGAGCAGGCGTCTCCTCTTGATCCTCAGGTTCATCAGTTAGTTTCTTGCCGGACGCAGCCTGGCGAGGATCCCTGCTCTGTCGGGGATCTCTGTTCTGGCTGATCAAGGGAGAAACCGATGAAGACTTCACTAGTTCCTCAACCTTTTTGCCAAGCTGCAGGAGCTGAGTATTGGCCAAAAGAGATTGGGTAGTTTGAGTTAGGAGTGTGTCTGAAAGTGTCAATGAGGCAGCAAGTGTCCCCGTAGAAGACGTTGGCTGTTCTCCCTGTTTCTGGAATGCCTGTTCCCCGATCTGTTTAAGGCTCTCCAAGATTTTTTGTGGATCAGTTATAGATTCAGTTGCGACCTGAACTTGACCTGGTACTACCGGTTTGACATCGTCAAAAATTGAGTCATCCTCTGGGTCATATGCCACATCATCACCTTCATTTGTAACCATATCAGACTGCTTAGAGATTTCAGGTTTGCTTACTAACTCAACGGGCTTCTTAGGCCCATTGTAGCCCCTACTGGGGTCATACTCCTCTTCTGGATCATACGGTCTGTCATCTTCGTCGTCCTCCACCTGTTTCTCTTTAGAAATCTGTGCAAACTGCTGCACAATAGGGTCTAGCATTGTAGTGCTCTGGACAGAGAGTTCACCACCCTGGTCAGATGGAGAGTTTGATGCTTCCGTGTCATGCTTTTTCTTCCCAAAAAGAGTTTTGAGGATGGTCTGAAGAGGAGTTGCTGCAGAGGAAGCAACAGAGCTGGATGAGGATGGGGAGTCCCTGCCGGTGGTCGTGGATGTACTTGTAGCTTTGAAAGAGGGAAAAAAGGAAAGGACCGAGGAGGTTGCCACACTGCTGCTTGAGGTCTCAGAGGAGTTGGGTGGAGGTGACCCGGGAGGAGTTGTGCTGAGGGGGATTTCAATACTCTGCCGTGTGTTTCTTTCTGTTCTGACTGAAGGAAATGGCTTTGGAAGACCAGTGTCATCGGCTTCTTTGGTTTGAGTCTTGGACCGTTTTTCCTCACTTTCCAATGGAGCACCGGAACGCTTTCTGTCCTTCTGGCAGATCAGCAGCCCCAAGAGGAGGTTGGGACGAGCTGGTTCAAGCCCTGCAAAAGGGACAAATCAAACAAGAATATTTTAAATCATTTGCATGTGAACTAACAGACACAATTTAACAAAACAGATGGACACTCTTGGACACTCTTTCTATTAAACTACTAAAACAAAAGTTTTGACTGAGTATTTCTGACTTGTGCAGTGAAGACACAAAAACAGGTGAAATGAGAGCCTCTAAATCCCCCCCCCCCCACAAATACATTTTAAATAATTAGTAGCACAAAAGGCGTTATCAGATATAAAACCAAAGTTCTCTCAAGTATATCCTTTTATACGACAAATGGCAATGGTAGAAATGTGCAGTACTGCAGTTTAGTTGGTAGTCATTAAACTTAAAAAATATGCTGACATTAGTAAATGAGCGCCAGCTGCAAAGACCCATTAGTTATTATATTGTGTTTGTGTTTGAAGTGATTATTTTGTAGATGTCCTGCCAGATGTAACCAAGAGTTAAAATGAACAAATGAAATCACTCTAAATCATTCACTGACATCACTAGATTGGATCTGGAAATGGCTAAAACATGACTGCAAGAAAAGGCCGCAACATGTAAACTGTAATTTAATTCTGTCATTCTACTGTCAGGTGCATACATGAAAATTTGATATAGGATCATAACCAGCCTGTTCACAGAAACATCAGACAAAATCAAGGGGTCCAATTTAGTTTTTCTGAAGCTACTCAATTAATAAAAGGAAAAACCCTCTTGCATCTAATATTCTCTTTCTGGGGCACAATATGTCAGACGTACAACCTTTTTACTTACCACAGCTGTAATAGCAATGCGGGTACTGTTCACAGTGTTGCACAATCACTGGTTGCAAAGTTTACATTAAGCGCTTGTACTTCATTTATTAGGACATCTTAAGCACCAGTGGTGCAGCATGCTACCATATGAACACCAGTGTGGTATAAAATGATTGACGTTACGCCATTGTAATTTTTTCGATTACACAGTTGTTCAATTATGTTTATGTAGGAGCCAAGTCTTAACAAACAACAGGCTGAGACTGGACTCAGATGGCACCAACCTGCGATGCAAACTTCCTTTATTAGAAACGTGTGATACAGAGTCAGATACACAGCAGCTGTTGTATGCACAGAAGTGTGGAACTCAACAAGGAATATGAGTGCCCCCTACAGTACAAACCCATGAATCAACAAGCTCTCATTTCAACCTGAGTCCATCAACAGAACTTACACTAAATATACTCACCGCAGGTACGAAGACAAAAAACAACAACACAATTTAAATAAATAAAATTACACTCATGTCACCAAAAAAAGGTATATTTGTGTTTCCTTGTGAACGCTTACCTGGCCCATCAAACGGTAAGAGTTTGGAGGGTAATGGGTCCGTGGAGCTCAGTGGGATGAGATAGAGGTCTTTGATACGACGGTTGTTGTTCGCCACCACACCGAACCGTTTCCTGCTGCTAAAGTAACAGAACAGAGAGACGTAGGCCACCTCCTCTTCCTCTGTGGCTGGGTGGAAACGGATCAGACACAGCTCCTGCGAACACAAAGAGAGCAAAAACCAGTATGTGAGTGAGTGATGCAAAGGCCTTTAAAGAAAGCACTTTTACACAAATTATTTTTTTGCCCCCCCGAACAAACCTTGGAGAGCGAGGTTTTGAGTTTCCCGACGTAATCCCACACTGTGCTTGGAGATATCCGTCCTCCGACATGAATGGTGTCCGGCAAATCCTGCACAACATTGACAACACTAAGTATGACACTCTTTGCTTTTATGTATGCGTAAAGTTTTTGAATTAAAGTTTGAAATGAAGTAAATTGCTAACCTCCTTCAGGTGCTCAAAGGCACCAGACACCAGATACGCCTTGGTCACAAACTTGGCCACAGACTGCATGTTGATTAATCCTTTCCAAATCTTCTCTTGACCGTGGAGGAAGATTGCTGTCTCACCAGCAGGAGGCGGCTCAGATGTACTGTAAAAAACAGAAACAGTCTTCGTTTTAGAGAAAACCCAAAATCCCAAGTCTCAGGCTAATCAGAAAGATGGAGAACAATGAGCTGTAGAGCTGCCCTATCATACTCTACTGTAGCACCAACAATCTATGTATATACTTGCAATTTTAGCATTCAATGTAAAAAGGTATCGCTAACACATGTTTTAATGTAGATTTCTAAAAGCCTGATGAGATTGAGCACCTTGTTTTTGCCGTTTTGGACGCAGCTACTAAAGGCGGTGGAGCTGGGGGCATCGGCAGCGGCGCCTTGGGTGCAACTTCCACCAGGGCAATGACAGGAGCTGGGAGGAGTTCTGCCGAGTTGTTGATGGGCTTTTCCGGAGCAGGGTAGATGACAGTCACAGTGGAGCTGTGCCTCGCCATGCGCGGGTCTCTGCGGGTGATGCTGACAGAGGACATGGTGGGGTTGATGGGTGCGGGGGCCTGTGCCGGAAGTGCCAGCATGTTGAGCTCCAGCTGCTGCTGCTGCGATTCTGGCACGGCTGGCTCCATGTTAGTCGGGTAGGACGCAGGGATTGGGTAGGCTAAGGGGTCTTGGTGCTGGTGAGCTGTGGGGACCTGAGCATGGCCCACAGGAGAGACATCCCCCGACCTCGACAAATGCTGCTCTTGTCTGGCAGGCCGAGTTTCAGGCTTCTTGGTCAGTCTGGCTTTCTTAGCTGCAGGCTCATCTTCTGTCTTCTGACCTAGAGGGCAAGATTAAAAGAGTTATCTTTATATCTGTAAAACAAACTCAATCACCGAATGACTTCTAACCTGACACTTGTCTTGTGTGTCTCATATACCTGTGCATATTTTACAGTTGAGGTCAAACAGGTGGGTCCTGTGTTGAGAAGTGGTGTCTTTGAGCATGGTACCGAAGATGTCTAGCATGCCACTGCCACTGTTCCCCTCCGCGGCAGTGGGCTGAGCCGAAGCAGAAGGAGTGGCACAAGTCTCATCTTGGTCCTGTGGACACAGAAAAGACCTCCGTCAACACTTAGGTGAACTGGATGGTCATTCCCACAACACACAGAATTCTGGATTACTAATAAGTACAACTCTGTATTTTGTAGTAGGTGCGAGTAGGTTTAATGCCCAACAATGAAGAGAGAAAACAAAGCTTCAGTCAGAAATTAACAGCATTGGAAAAACAGGATAGTTGGCAAGATGACGAACCTGCGATATCTTGGCTAGTCTTTACTTTGTCAGACATGTGTAACAGTTTGTTCCTGAGCACCTCATGCAAAGATGAAAAAGGAAAAGTGTGAAAGCTAGAGAAAGACAGCATGCCACCACTTACTGCAGCAGAAGCCATGCGAGAGGCAGAAGTAGTGGCAGAGATACATACATCCGTATCAGACGTTGGCGGAGCATCCTCCATGTTGCCCAGTTTGGAATGGGCCCTGGCACTGGGAGACTGGGCCTGCAAGGGGACAACCGTATATGCTGTAGCAATTGTATGCATCCTGGAGAACAGTTTATTCCCAAAACTCTCAACAGTGAGTTCTTTAAAGCTGAAGTTGACCCTGTGCTCGGTGTTTCAGCTAAAGGGAAGTAACATTTACCTCTGCAGCGTCGGGCTTCTTCCACTCGGATATCTCTTTGGAAAGCAACTCTTCCGCACTTAGTCTCACCAGTCTGAAGGGACTGACCTCACCACCCACCACCCTGTAGAACAAGCCCTGAGGAAAGCACAACACACAGCGAGTTGAACATCTCAGCATGAGGGACATCAACCTAAAGCTCGTCGGGCTGTAGGCATCCCCCCTCAACATACAGAACTCTGCAAACAGTTGACTGGAAAATATGAGTGCATGCATGTTTATGCTGACTCACTTTGTTTTTGGGATCTTTCAGGTTGAACATGAGGGACCTGTATTTGTTCTTGTACCGGCTGTCAGTGTTAAGACAGAGGTTGAACATTTCCTTCTCAATGGCGACCGACAGCCTCGCCACCTCAGCCTCGGTCTTCTTCAGATCGTCGCTGTCGCTCACCCTGGTGGTAAGAAACGGTTTAAAAAAGGTGCCAAAGATTCACAGAGAGTATTTTTGAAACAAGTATCCTGGACTAGGTTTTCGTGGGACTCTTACCTCTTATAGATGATGTCTGTCAGCGAGCGGCGGATGTTCGTCCTCATCTGGTTGTTGGGGGGCGGCGGCATCAGGGACGCAGGGGGTGCTGAAGCGGCCGAATGTGGAGGTCTGGAGGATGAGGAGTGGCCGGAGGGAGCGGTAGAAACCGGAGTTGGAGGGACTCTGGAGGATGGGGAGGCCTTGGTGGAGGATGGGGAGGACTTGGTGGTGGATGGGGAGGCCTTGGTGGGGGATGGAACCTCCTTTTGTTGCGGAGCCTTCTTAGGAATGGTGAAGTTGGACTTGGTGACTCTGAGAGCTCCCGTGACGTGGATCGGACCAGGAGGGTAGCGAGACGGATTATGGATCGGCGTCTGGCCTTGTTTCTTGGACTTCGCTGCAGTTTTACTCGGGGGCGTCGCGGGTTTCTTGGACACCTTCGAGCTGGTGGTCTGAAGGGAAGGCTTCTTGCCCTTCGGGGGAACCTTGGCTGCTTTAGCAGTCGGGGACTTCTTGTTTCCTTTGACTGGTGCTGCGGATGCTGGTGGAGGATTCTCAGGAGCCGGGGCTGGATCCTTCTCTTTCTGCTCCTTCTCACTCGGCTTCTCTTCTTTAGGGGGGGCTGGAAACAGAGAACACAGATCACACATTAAAAAAAATATGGCATCATTTACAACACATGTAGAGCGACAGTATTTGAACACGGCAGATTATCATGAATTTGGGTCTATAACTCAAGAGACTGCATTGTTTCGAGATGACCCCAACTTCATAGTTGATCAAAACATGAACGTCACACATCAGTAACTGTGTACAAGCTGAATACACCGCAATACACATTCTGAAATAAACACAAAGTTGACAACCGGGCAGTTAAAAGGCCCTTGTTTATTTGCAACAGTGGATAGCAGATTGTGCTGTTTATGCAGGTCCATTTGAGAAAGAAATACATTCTTCCCACTTGTTATTTAATGGCAAAAGTATTTATCGCTCAGCTTACCGAACCCTACTTCTCAGTGCACAGAGATCCGAACAGGAGAGAGGGAGAACTGATGTCTTGTGAAAACTCTGTTAAACTTCCTGAAAACTAACCAGCTAGATATTCATAACTCCCTCCTTCTCAAACTGTGAATTTAAACATTTCTATCAGGAGTTTAACTACAAACCCTCACCACAGCTGATGAAACGACGAGCTCCAACTACATCCAAATCTTAATAATGGTTCTTTCATTTCAGTAAATTAAGCAGGTACAAATGAGTAATACATTTCTTCAAACTCTATAATGAAGAATTATATCGACCAAGTTGCACCAACACCTGTATGACATCACACTTATCAAATATGTCTTGCTAATTCGTCGTCTATTGTGTCCAAGTTGCATGTTAAAGCTGCCTTAGAACAAGCACCAACCCCTCAAACACAAACGATACACCCACACCAATGCATAAAACACAACTATGTTGTGCAGAGCGACAGGACTGTGACCCAAAGCAAACAAAGTCAAACCATCTTCTGAAGACCGTCACAACAATCAGAACAGATCAATGAGCCAGAATTTCCTCCTGTTGATCACACAACAATCACTGGTCGTCCTGACACGAGGCATTTAGACGCTTGATATCTTATCAATTAAGGTCCTTAGAATGCCTTCAGTGACCCCTTATAAAAAAGGAGAGGTGAATCCAACATGTCTACATTTCATTGCAACAAACTTTCCTCTCAATATACATCAGATCTCATCGGGTGCAAGATGTGTGTGTGGAAAACTGGAGTATGGTCCTTCTGAATGTGTGCACGGCGCAGGTCTCCGACTTCCCTTCTGAACTTCACTGCAGTATCTCCGGGTGGTCTGGTCCCTGTGGCAGAGCTCCATTCTTTTTTTTTTTCTCGGCTGTTCGCCATCTGGGGGGGGGGGGGCTCTTGAGTGTCAAGTCTCCGAAGTGTGTGTGTAGATTTATCAGTTGTGTGTGTTTTGTTTGAGCTGAACCGGTCAGGATATCCTACAGCAAGCCAACATTGCTCACATAATCAATCAAGGCATCCTAAAATCTGTTATATCACCTTTTATTTCAAAGCCAGTTTCCCACGAGTAGTATCATATTCAATATGAATCAAAAACTTTGAAGTCAGCCTGTTACCCAAAAAATTATGGGTGGGGGGTGGGAAAGAATACAAGAGCAGCTCAATATGAACTGGTAACTTCATTAGTCCACAGTAAAATGGGCAGATTCTGGGACACCTACCTGCTGGAGAAATGGAGGCGAGGACCTTTTCTAATGGGTCAACAGCTGAGGTGATGAACCCAGAAAGTGGAGACTTGTGTGGGTAACAAGAAAATCTCACACACCGGTCCACCCATCACATCTAGACGCCTCATGGCCGAGCACGAGAGGTCAGAGTTTGAGATTTTGGCCCTTCTTTTATCGCTACCATGTGATCCTGTATACGTCTCCATCTGCAGCTCTGCATTCCAACTATGAGGTATTCAAAAGAGGCTCTCCAGCGATGCGAGTGTTGCACTCACAAAAAGTTGTGGGAGAGTCCTATTAAAAAGGAATGATCACATTTGATGCAGCAGAGGCCTAGATATCCTTACTTTTAGTCCATAGCGTGGGACAATATCCCAAAAAAAAACAAAAAGGTAAATAAAGCTGGCTACTACATTTCCCATAATTCTTAAGCATCTTGTATTAGATGCTCCCTGCCTGGTAAATGCTCCCGCCTTCAGTTTAAAACGCAGGCTGTCTGTTGAAAGCTGAGCTAACTGGTGACATCGCAGCCGTAGAAGACGTTATGCGATGGTGTTCCCATGCTTAGTACCTAATGAAGCTATTAAAAGGATCTTGATGAGTGCGACCTGTCAAAAATAAATGTTCCGAATTATTAAATACTTACCCATAGCCACAAATAGCACTTACCTTTTTTTTTCTCAGCTGTCAACATTTCATTGAGTGACAAAACCTTTACATTATCAAAACCACAACACTTTGCAAAATACCTTCTTTTTCTTTTGATCTAGCAAACAGCGGAGGTCATCTCCGGAGCACTACATGTACGGATCACTGCTAAGTTAGGTTAGCGCCACATGAACCGCATTTATAATGGCAAAAAAATAATGTGGTTTCAACAACAGCCCCAGACATTCAAAGAGATACATACACTTTTTGTTTAACACTGTTGGTGATATGGGTGTAGTCTTTTCTGGTGTTACTGCAATGTAATTATGGTCGCTGGACCAGGATGCAGTGGCCGGCGGGGGCGGGTGTTCCTCAGCGTGCTCATCTTCGCCGTCCTCGTCGTCCTCGTCATCATCATCATCCTCCTCCTCCTCCTCCTCCTCCTCGTCGTCATCATCATCCCCCTCGTCATCAGCACTGTGGTCTTCCTCGCTCTCCAACTCCTCCTGGGCTTTCTTCTGCAGCTTCCTCCCACCACCGACGTTCCTCTGGGCGGACAGGAAGAAACACACATTCAGGCCTTTTAGTAGACGCACTCAGCGGGCAACGTTTGACAACAGTACAGGCAAAATACAGAACTACAAGAATCCCTCAATGAAGGAAAATATGTCCGTTCTAAACAAACACCAATTAACTCTTACGCTCTTCGGTTTACCTGCTCTGTTTTTGGCCGTTCTAACCACTGATCACATAGTGTGCATAGTACAATTCAAAGTATTAGTGCAGACACCGCTCTGCATGTAGCATGTTTCTATGAATAACGTACACCGTTTACTACATTTTTCCAGGCAGGTCCATTTTAATGGCCGACAGCATGGACTTTAGGGACCTGTACAACAAAGCAAGCTCAACACCGTCAAGGCCAATAGCAGTTCATCAAGTTTACACCGTATGAAGATCGTTTCCCTGAATGTACACGTGACCTGAAATACTTAAAGATCGCAATGCATGCAGGGTAAGATATGCTCGTTTAGAGTACTTCATTGTTTATCGCTTGAAGGTTTAATCCCAGAAGTCCATTTGGGGTTTTCAAAGTAATGAAACCACATGGTTATAAATCCAGCTCTGACTGCACAGGGGACGGTTGACTCCTGTGGGGATTTGATGCGGTAGCTGAGGCAAAATTAAGCTAATAAAAGAGCACAAATTTAAACTATACAAAACAGTAAAAGCAAGAATACTTGTTAGTTATTATAAAGGCTGTCCTATACAGTTGATATTTCCCATCTGCACTGTCACCATTAACTAGAATATAAATTATACAGGACATAAGAAATGCAGACTAGGTATTAGGAGCAATATTCATTTCATTTTTAAGAAAAACAGGCTTATCACCCGTCATTGTCATAATGATTCACTTATACAACCCATGAAAACAGATTCTCACTTCATAAAGTCACCATGTATTCTCTGACTGTGGAAAATCAATAGCTCTAATGGGCTACAACATGTCATCTCATCACCAATAAAAGTAAATGAACTTGTAAAGCAAAACATTTTGTTTCATTGAGTTATGGGGATGTCTCAACACATTTCTCGACGCCTTTAATCTGCATGCACGCTTTCGCAATCCAGTGGAAGTGATCACTCAGTCGTTCCCATGAGCCTTTGATCTGATCCATTGAACTCGACCTGCTTCCACTGCCAGGCCCCAATACATACAGCTTACCATTGTGATCCCATCGTTAGCTGTGAGGCAGCGTCCTATTACCAAACAGCCTATATTAACACAGAATTTAGGCTGCTGACCCACTCTTAAATTGTGCCTCTTAACCATCAAGATGACATCAGAAAGTAGCAGCTGCCAGTTACCGTTTGTTATGCAATTTCACTTCATTTTAGAGCAAAAGTAAATCCTTCTGAACCACTTTAGTCAGGCCAAGATGTAGACTCTTGTAACATGATCAGAATCCAGAGCAAGGAAACTAGTAGAGACAACTCCCACAGTGGGATTAACACCCTTTTAAAGTTCAAAATATGACCGTAATAACCGTGGGAGTGTTAATAATGAGGTAATGATTGATGTGCACTCATTAATGTTGGTTGAAACCAGCCACCATTACAACAAAACATTCTAATAAAAAGCCCCTCAAAGGTGACAAAGACATAAGATCAATAAGTCTAATCTCTACACCACTATGACACAGATCTCCACTGCTATAACTCTGCTACCCTGCACAGCCACGACAGGCAAAAGGCAGCATTTCAAGTGGTCCAAGTTACCTTTGGTGCGGACTTGGTTTTCTGAGCCTTGTCCTTCTGATTGGGCTCTTTGACGTCGGTAATGGACTTCATGGCCGCCGCAGCGTGTCTCAGGATGCAGCCACTGCCGCAGTAGACGGAGTCCGGCTGGGCGTTGTTCTCACAGCCGGGCCCGATACATTTGGGGAGGGGGGAGTCCTCGTTGGCCTTCAGCGCCTCCGCCGTCGGCGTGGTTTTCACCTCCACGTTCGACGCCACTTTCTCCTCCGTGTCCGGCAGTGCTTTCGGTTCTGCTGTGGTCGCCGCCTTCTTTTCCACGGTCGGTGCCGCTTTCTGGTCCGCTTTTGGTTGGGCTGGCTGCTGTAGGGCCTGCTCCAAGTCAGCACACAATAAAAGTAACAGCTGATGACGAGCAATCTCAATTTTAACAATACCAGCTTACTGAATTTAACACTCATTCTACTGATAACAGGGATTTTAAAAAGTGTGTTAAGTAATAAGTGTCATGTTGCAATAGGCTGCCTGATGCCATCGCCAAACCTTTCATTTATTTAGAATCTGAAGCTACTTTTTGGGACCTAATCTGCATTCTCTAAACACAGAAAGACTCAAATCACAGTCACAGCTCTGCACAATTAAGTGAAATCGGAATATAGCCTGTGCAGAAATGTCCCTGCTTACACATCATATTCAACAGACGTAAGAAAGCATAATTGTTTGGTACAGATCCCACATAAAAAAAACCATACCATTTTTATTTGTTTTTCAATGAAAATGGTGATGTATAAATTATCCTTCCCTCTAATATCGCAATTGCAGTATCAGAATAAATAATCGCAATTAGATATTCTTTCAAAATTGTTCAGCCACACAGTAACAGTTTGGAGTCGTGACGCATACTGTACTCCAAGTCAGAGATTGGCGAATTAATGAAAATGTACTTTTAAACTACACATTTAAGCCCTTTAACAGTAACTGTGGTGAAATGGACTTCAATTTGGTTAAAGTATGAACTGTTTACAGCATCAAATATTTAACAATGGCATCATATTAACTTATCGAGACAGCACTCGACATGCCACATATGACTAGAACTTCATTGCCTTTGTTGACACAAGTTATGAATTCAATGAATAATATAAGCTGTAGTGATACTATACATCCTAGTTTTTGACTGTACTTTGTATCTGACTGTACCGTGTTAACTATGTGTTTTACATCATTTATTATGTTTTGTCCTGTACATTGGACCCCAGGAAGATAAGCAGTAAATAAACAGTAAACATGCACTGACAAAACAATAAGCAGAGCAAATATGTCAACGATTTAATGGCTTGACTCGTAACGCAGTTCAAAGCCTTTAAGTTGAGATCAGTTGTAACCTACCGGCTGAAAGATCTTTATCTTCTTCTTCCCGGTTGGATTGGTAGCTTTCTCTATCCGGCCTTTGATGCCCATGTCCTCTGTTGCCTTCTCTTCAGCTCCAGGAGTGGAGGGGGCCGCCACAGCCTGAGCAGCCAACAGACCGACGTCTGCCCCGTTGGGGTTAGTTTTCTCGGCAGAAAAAGCGAGAGTCGTTGCTTTGGTCTTCCCGATGTCTGTACATGCAGAGAGGATGGTTGTGGCGGGTCTCACCACCTGGTTCTTCTTGGCGGTGCAATTAGGGCAGATGTAGTCTTCGCCATTTCTCTCCATGAGGCGCCCGCGAGCCTCCGTGATGCCCACACAGTCTCCGTGGAACCACTCCTCGCACCGGTCACAACAGATCATGAACCTGGTGAGCACAGAACATTCATAGAACATTCATAGAGCCACATTTCTTCAAAGTCAAGCTGAACAAAAACTCTGTCGTGGAATCAAACGGTGGCTGTAGCCGACAACAAGGAGGGGACATAAAATCAAAGCTTGATATGCTCATTAAAATCTAATTTCATTATTAACCCTTTAAAAGGTGCAATATAAGGGATTCAGAGCATAAATATAGCAGCTAACAGCTACTTGCTATGTAAAGACAACGTGGGGTAACGGTGTCCTGAGCAGAGAATTAAATCATTTTCACTCAGTGTTTGTTGTAATCCAAGCTTCTTCTTGCTTTGTTGACATTGCCCGGCCGGCCGCATGTGCTTTTAGTGCATGCGAGTGTGCCCCACTGGCTAGCTAATGGCCACCGCTCTGCACTTCACTCATATGGCGGTGACGGGTGATAACTCCGTCTGTCATCGCATGCGCATTGCACCTGCCCTCAGGGTAAACACCGTTAGCTCTGCCGGCACTTTTGCCGTCGCTTGCACTGTTAGCACCGGTAGCTGTGAGCCGCGGGCTCAGCCCTAGTCATGTTAAACTCCAAATCTCATGTATAGCACCATTAAAACGGACCAGTGTGTTAGATTTAGGGGGATCTGGAGGCAGAAACGGAATATATGTTCATTAATGTGTTTTCATTTGCGTATAATCAACTGAAACTAAGAATTGTAGTGTTTTCGTCAGCTTAGAACGAGCCCTTCACGTTGAGAGCGAAACACCCTCTGTAACCTCCACGCTAGAGGCCACTAAATCCTACGCACTGGTCCTTTAAAACTAGACACCGCAGTCACTGTGATCACATTAACACCAACAACGGTTCAAAACGATACGATACCTTTTGTTGTGTTTCTGGCGACAGATGCAGTAAAGGGCATTGGGGTCGTAACCTCCCTCGTCTGAATCAATGGATGATGATGACGACGATGAGGAGGAGGAAGATGTTGAGGAGTCATTTTCATCATCATTGTCTTCTTGTGTCATTCCAGCAGCTTGGGTAGCTTTGGCCTCCCTCTTGACAGGAGCGGCGACAACAGCAGCAGCAGCAGCAGCAGCAGCAGCAGCAGCAGCAGGACCTTTAACGGGGGCAGTGCTCTTATTGGCCACCCTCTTTTTATTGATGTATGTTCTTATTGGTCCACGTTTGACCAACACTGCTGCAGGCTTGTCTGTGCTCTCCTCGTCAGTCTCATCGTCGGTCTCCTCCTCGGTCTCCACTTTGTCATTTTCATCTGCATGTTCGTTCTTCTCCTCCACGTCCTCTTTCCTCTCAGAGTCCTGCTCTGGCTGAGGCGGTTCTGCAGTCGTGCTCCCTAAATATTCTGGACCGGGAGAAGTCTCTTCGTCTTTTTTCTCCTCGTCTTTATCCATTAACTGGTCTTTCTTAGCATCGTCTCTGCTGTCCTCATTCTCGGAGCTCCCCTCATTTTTGACCGTCACTCCACCACCTCCTCCTCCTCGGGTCTGTCGGCCGCGTCGACTTTTCCTTTGGACCTGCTTCCTTGCGCCACTTCTGGTCCTCCTCTCTGGGGACTCCACCTTGTCGTCTAGTGCCTTGGTGTCGGCGTTACCATCAAAGCTGGCCTCCGAGGCGGTCTCTGCATCAGTTGGTGTTTGAGAAGGAGGATCTCCGCTCTCCAGACTAGGAGGGGCGCTCCTTCTTTGCCCTCTTTTGGCCGTCGAGAGGAATTCCTCTAGTTTGTCGGTGCGCTTCGGCTGCCTGCCACTGCGGCGTACGGGACAGCGGTTATCATGGCTGTCGGTTGCTGCCTCCACAGGCATCTCTCGCTTTGCCACAGTGGACTGTCGGAAAGACCAAGTCTTCTTTACTTCACTGTTGGCTTTGGAGGATTTATTATCTGGCTCCTCTAATGTCTCTTTGGCCACATTCTCGCTTTCTGTTGGAATCGGCTCTGTATCCCTGTCTCCAAACCCTGTGAACAAACAATCTAAATAAAAAAGCTGTGGGCAAAACAGATGGCATGCAACATAACAGAGCCAAGAGACTACTAATTGTTTTGTGATCAAGCATACAAACAAATCAAATTCGAAAATGATTGCTTGGCTAAGACCCTTAATTGCCCTACATTTTCACCCACATTTAAAGTTCATAGAACCAAAACTGTGCCCAGTGTGACTACAACGTCCCCACCCTTTCATTGTGAGGGGAAAAGAAGCTCAGCCAAGGTACCTTGAGAGCAGGTATCCATAGGGTCCTGGCTCTGCTCTGGCTCAGGACCTAGAGAGAGCTCAGTGCTTGCATTCTCCTCCATAGATGATGGAGTCAATCACTACTTTCAAACAGATAGTCTACAATTAAAAGAAGAGCACAAAAGACCAGCTATGAATTACTCGTTTCATTTCTATAATATGGAAAACACTGAGGGCTGCCGGGTATTTATCAATTAGGCAGTGCTGGGATTGCTCCACTTCTTAACATAAATGTAAATATACTTTATATGCTAAAGTGTATTGGCACCATAGAGCTCTAGTTCAACAGATATTAACTGGCCACGGTGGAACTAATTGAAATACCTCCTAATGCACACAAAATATTTCATATTATTCTGTGTATCTTAAATAAATAAAGTCCCCAGCAAGAGGAGTATGTCTGTTTTTGACATTTGCACTACTGTCTGTTCTATATAAATGAAAAGAAATGTATCCTTATGCATATGGGATTTTATTTCGCTGTACGCGCACCTATTCAAATGTGCAAGGACATTGTAGGATATTCAGTCTGTGGTCAGGTTTGAAAGCCGTCTGCAGCCTTTAAAAGTGTGTGCATGAAATTCTTTTACCTATAAATGAGCTTTTTTTATTATTATGGCAGTATTTTCCATGTGAGTGTATGAGGACGTATGCTGAGTGTCGCATGATTTTTACTCATGCAGACTGACAACAGCAACTTGTGTTTATAGTCACATCACATGTATACCCTCAATAGTCTAATGCTGCAATTTAAGGTTGTAGAATACAGATATCTTCTTTTTTTTAAGAACATTACGATATTAGTTTTACTGAAATCACAGGCGTTCGTTTTTGCCATTTGGATTTTTGGAGTATATAGACCAAAAATTGGGATGAAAACCAGAACACCATTTTAATATTGAGGAAACAACAGTCTAAAACTAAATATATTGTGGCCCAACACAATTTAGAAATGGTTACAGTTGATTGCGATTGGTTAATTAATCCTGTTTAGTCTTATTGAAAATGAGAATCAAGTTAACTTTACTTCACCTAGGATCATCCAGGGCCAAACTTGCCATCCTTTAATTTAAGAACAGATAATGAAAATAGCCGATGTCTTTACCTGTGGTTCAGCAGTGATGAGTAACAGAGCTGTTTTTCAAACAAAACAAAGGCCGTGCACCAGTAATCATCGGTCTTGGTACAAGGTGAACGGATCTGCCAGAGAGTGGAAAACACAAGTTAACATGCAGTGAGGTCAAGAACAAGATGTGATGTTCATTGAATTGGACATTTATCAATTCCACAACTGCTTAATTTAAGGTTTAACTTTATATGATTAACGTAAAAAAAAAAATAAAAATACACCAAACAGACGGGAATTTGGACACAAAAATGTAACCGAACAGTGTTTTTTAAAGTAACTGCAAACGGTTAAAAGAACCAGAATGTGCAACAATTTGTTGACAGCAATTAAGAAACTTCAAAGAAAAATTTTTAATAACAGAAAACATTAATATACTAATAGTTACAAGCCTGCATGTACAATTCTGAGATTATATCTGCTTTTAAATTAGCCTTGCGCACACACACTGCACCGTGAACATCCAAACAATCCAACCAAAAACAGAAAGCGATTAATCAGGATTCTCCCACTGGTGTCACGACACCGTGCCACGTGAATGACAGGAGAACTGTTGCCATGAGAGGTGGGAGGGGCGCGGGACGAGCATCAGATGTAACACCAAGAGTATAGCAGACAAACAAGGAGAAATCCACTTTATAACGTGTACAGATTCAGCGATGTAACATGTTGACACGGTTTGTAAGTGGCGTATTGAGGTCCAGTAAGGGAGGCTGCACGCGGGCCTTGGTGCGCATATTATAACGTTAGTAATAAAACATATTTAATCACAATCACACACTGTTTTCACAAACGTATCCTGTTACTATGCATGAAACAATTCGGACTATATTGGCGACATCAGGCGACAACAGACTATTACGTTACCTCCTGTGCACACGACGCAGAGACAACCTGCTAAACAACGCTCGACCGTTAGCTTAATGTCCCGTTAAACCACAAGCACAGGGGCCTATATTGTGTTGCATTATTGGATGGACACACTCCACGTGTAAAGATAACACGCATTTTAATGTATCTGCACTTCTTTTCTCGTCGTTTATGGTGCAATATTGCGATAAACTGAGCGTTACAAAATGTGCACACTCCTAGCCAGCTAACAAGGCTAACGCTGTTAGCCACCACGAGCATGGGCAAGCTAACGGGAAACTCGACCTGTAGCTACACAATGTTAAGCTAACGTTAACCCGCGACATATAAGCACATAACGTCCACTACTAAACACGTACAATGAGGGATATTCGTTCTGTAGCAAGAGCTATGTAAGACTAACCAAAGCGAATGACCAGAGTCAGAATTAATGGCGTAGTTTGACTGTAATTTACACAAGTTAACGTTACAAGCTAAAGCTAATGCTAATGTCAGGCGCAGCGTAACGTTACAACATAGCCGCAAACCCCTGGAGTAGGACAACGCCTGCAACAGCAACACAACGGAGACAGTGTTGTACCCACGCAAAAAATCATCAGTAGCACTAAAATATTAGATGTTTGCATTCTACCCACCTACATGCTAGAAATACCGATGATATGCCCTCGCTCTTCGGTCAGTCCTCCATTTTCCATTCCCGCTGGATCTAAGCTAGCGTTAACGGACTGCGGCAGATGGCTGACGGTTTAGAGAACACGCTCAATATGTCCACAGCGCCCCCACTGGTCAGGACGGCAACTGAGCAGGTACGGGTAACAATACTGAGTTTGGCTTCTATGCACAGGCTTACCAGATACAAGTTAATAAATACACCGATTTCTAGCATTTTTAGGATAATCTCAAGGTATGTTGGACACTTTAAATACCCTAATATAGAGATTTACTTTACTTTAATGGAAACAACCTTGACTTGAATGGGAATTTGCCTTAATTTCGATCACTTCAATTCGTTATACAGCAGACAATATACTAAATACATTTGAACATACTATTGTACTATAGGTCAGTTTTTTTGTGTTTTTAAATGTGTCTGTTAGGTAACAATTCGACCTTATGAGTAAGAAGTTGCAGTTGTAAGTAAAATTAAATTAGGCAAATTCACAAAAGTCCGAATTCCTAACTTCCGTCTGCAGCTGTGCTTCTGATATGAGGCGCACAAGTTGGACCTCTCATAAGTCAGTATTTTACGTCCTGATAAACCTCCTCCTCAGGACTCCTGACATGCATAGTCCTGAAATTTCAGCTATTAAAGAGTTAAGAACACAGTCGGCATGAAGCTGATAATATATGGTCTTATGAAATCTACATATACCAAAATAATTCCAACACATGAACAAGTTCTTCTAAGACGACTATGAGATACAACTTAAGATGGAACTGCTTGTGAACAACAGCTTCTCAAGATTCAAGTTGTGTCATCTGTTTCAGAAATGAAGCTCTCCGTTTAACACCAACTTACAGACTAAACCTAGGGTTGAGACTTTGCTAACTTATTGCAGACTGCTTCATCACTAATTAAACCACAGTGTAACAATAGAAACAACTTGTTTAAAATGTTTGTATTTGTTATTTTCTTTGCAGTATACAGCAGGCAACATTAGAATAACAAATAAATTAACATAGAATACAAAATAAGGAATTTACAGACATTTCTGTCAACAGTCTAGTCTAAATCTGGGTGGTCCATAAGCATGGGTTACATTTTTGCAGTCTTAAACTATTTAACTGTTGTCATTTACACTAGATGTATGTTTTGAGACACTCAGGCATGCTTTTAAGATCTTTATACTGACAGCTCTCTATAGACTGCAAAGCAGTGCGTGAATATGCAGTGTACACTTTTTAAACTGCCCCCTCTAGTGGTTACTAACTATCTGCTGTCAGTCTTGATTCCACATTTACAATGTAAAGACCACTGTGCACTGGGGGCAGTATGTGAGCCCTGAAAGGCAACAAAAATATATAAATAAAAATAATTTAGATTGCTCCCTTAACAGCTGCTTGAACAGAACGATTTACATAAGACATGTCCTTATCGTGAAAAAAAAAAAAAAATCTATACACATTTACATTTTCAAGTACGGTAAACTTGTTCAGGACAAAGTGACAGCAACGGTGTCAGAGCTCTTCTCCGTGTCACAGTCTTTGTCTGGTGGTGCAGAGACCGGCGTGTCTCTCAGAGAGTTGGGGCCACTGCTAGTCTGCCCTAAACCTTTGTTTGGGAGGTCGGCTGTCGACTCAGCCTCAGGCTCTTGCTGTGGGGCCGTGGCTACGAATAGAACAGAAGCGAAAAATATACATCACATCTATGGAAATTGCCAGGTGTCAAGTGGCTGGTGATTATGCAGGCGAGCAAAGGATTGGAGACTTGCAGGGTTACGAGCTGCCGTAAGAACAGAAGAAACAAAAAACAGCTTGTGCTGTTACCTGACTGAGTGCAGGACTTCATGTGTTCTGGCCAGTGGGCTTGCTGACACGGGTAATCACAGTAGCTGGTGTTCCAGCAGCAGTAGAAGATGGCCTCTTTCCTGCAGTTGGCGCACCACTGTTTCTTCTTCGTCTCATCCACTGCTTGCTGCTTCTCCACCTCCATCTGTTTCTTCACCTCTGTCACCAACCTCTCTCTCTCCTGCTCCAGACTTTGCCTCATCTCTGCCATTGTCAGCTCTACATTGAAGCACAAATGAACATGATCAAAACACGAGCGAAACTCATTACACGGTTTTCGGTGATGAAGGCCACAAGCATAGTAATTCGCTTATCGACGAAGTTCTCACCGAGATTGTGCTTCATCTCTGACAGCTCTTGTTGATGCAGCCACTGTAGTTTTTCTATTTCGATTCTCAGTCGTCTTATCTGGATTAAAAACCCACGGGTTAGGTTCAGTAAAGGGTCTCATGCAAAGCCACTATTATGATCTGAAGAGTATTTCGTCTCTACGGGGCCAAGAGCAAACACCTACCTCTGCTATTGTATTGCCTGAAGTACTCTTAGAGAGGTCATTGTAGATTTCAGTCATTGTACCTTTGATTGCATCCATTATCTGAAAAGAGTAGAACATAATATTCTGATTTAAGAAAAAAGTACTGTGAACTACCAACACTTATCTGGTTTTATTATTACTTGTCATCTTCAAGGTTTGCATATGTTATTTTATGTCAAATATGCAGTTTGAAAGCATAAGTAACTGGTATCAACTAAATCTCTTATTATTATAGACACCTATAATTTGTACATTTCACCCCAAGAGAAATACACCAAGCTGCTCTCAGGGCTCGTTTTCATCTAAGTTATTTGGCGAGAGAATGATCAGTCGGTGCTGAAGTCCAGTGGATTTGACACTCACAAAGCAAATGTAAACTTATACTAACTTTATTCGTGTACTTGGCAATGTCTGCAGCTACGTCCGCTGAGGCAGTGGGGATATACAGGTCTGTTACCGCGGGTGAAGACGTAGCAGCTGCGCCTAAACTTGACGCTGCCATCGTGGCAACAGAAGATGGGCTACTGGATACCAGGGTGATGGCCGACGTGGATATGCTGAGGGGAGTGTCTTTCTGTTGAACAGCTGGAATAAGAAAACACTATTCATCAGACACATTATGGAAAAACTGATTATATGATCGTATTTAGCTGAGCACATTGTTTCTGTAGAGGGTAAATTGTAATCTTTTTCGAAACACCATACATGGAGGTATTTCGACATATACCGGCCCACACACTGTGTTAAGTCATACTTGATATCTACCTTTAACAGCCTGTCTGGTCTGATAGCGTGTGCTTTGAGAAGACTGCTGTGATGAAGATGAGGACACTGCCGTCGAGCCGTTCCCAGTGGCCTGTGCCTGGGTCAGCGCTTGAGCCTGGCCTTGCCTGGGAGGCGACGACGCCGCCGTGGTCGCCGCAGGTTGCTGGTTCTGTTGCTGACGCTGCACCTTCTGCATGTGCCACTTCTGCGAGGAGGTCTGAAACTTGGCAGTGGGATTCCACACCACGGCTCTCTGCACCACCGGCGCCGTCTCTCTGGGCAGCAGAGGACGCTGTTTCTTCAACGGCGGCGTGGTGGAGGCTGAGGAGGAGGAAGAGGGGGGTGTTGCGGTGGCACTGGACACGTTCGCGAGGCTTATGGTTGCGGGTGAGGGAGTAGTGAAGGAGACCATAGTGACAGGAATGGCCATGGGGGACTGTGTGGAAACGCTGGAGGGAGTGGACGGAGCTGTACTGTTTTGAGACGGTAGTGTCGACGGGGTCAGGGTTTTCCCTACAAGGGAAAGTACACTATTTACCAGTTTCCACCTGTACAAAGTTGGTGATCTTTCCACTTTTACATGCGCTAAAAATAGACATTATATTCTGTGTGTGTTTGATTATTTCTTGTGGGATCAACACAAAAACGTAGAACTCTCACCTTCAGTTTTACCAGCAGAAGAGTCTTTAACAGTGGCGTTGTCTTTCCTGCTCCTCTTCCTGTCCTTGCCTCCCTGTTCCTCTCCGAGGTCAATAACCAGCTCTCTCTCTGAGTCAGAGTCCTCCACCGGCACAGGCTGCTTTGCCTCTTCTTTCGCCTGAGCCTTCTCCCTGAGACTAGGTGATGCTGGAGGTGCTTTAGTCTTTTCTGGGCTTTCTTTTTCCGAATCTGTGCTCATTTTCTCATTAGTCGAGGCATCTGATGCTGCTGCAGTGGCGTCGCCTGCTGTAGTCTCGGATGCCACGTGCGAGTCAGCTTTGCCCTCCTCTTGGCTCGGGGAAGGTTGGTCTTTGGCTTTACTTTTGGTAGAATCCTTCTGGGCCTCATCACTGGATGCTGCATCCTGACCATCCTTGGTTATTTGCTCCTCATCACTGGCATACTCACTGTCACTGGAGTCCGATTTATCAGAGTCCTCTGAGTCACTGTGTTCCACACCTTTATACACATCGACGGATATCTCATCTATGCCTGCAAAACAAAGTGAAAGGAGGGATATATCACACATCATCACATATTCACTTCCCAAGATGTGTTCTGTTCAGCGACTTTTCCAGTCGGACAATGATTCTGCTGACTATCCTCAACAGAAATACTTCCATGCATACTCCACTGACCCAACTGTGCCTTGCAACTCTCGATGGTTTTGTCCAAATTCAGCTGGAAACGGCTCTTGATCTGTCTTTTTGGAGAGGTGAGGACCGGTGTGGCTCCTTGTTTCTGTTGAACCGTTTCACTAAGCTCCTTCAGGTCCATTTCTGCTTTACTCCGATCTGTGAGGATACAACAGAAAATAGTTCCACGGCCACATCTGCACAAGAGAAAGACTTTATTTCTAGCAGAATCGTGTCCAATGGTGACCTGTATTTTGCTCACAGAGAATGGACATCATTACTCTTTCATGCGTATTACGTAATTGCCATAAAAGATTCACCTAGATTGAGGTTCAGTATGCTTCCTGTCGGTGGTGTCTTCTCCTGCTTGGGAGCGCCAGGAGCTTGAGAGTGCAATGGTTTAGGGCTGTCTAAGGAACTGCCTGCGGGACAAGGTCGAGGATGGCCAGGCGATGCTGTAAAGAAACATTCACTGTTAAATGAAGCCCCCTGCCATTAGACACATACATACTAGTTGCTACACTGGAATGCACCTGGTGAAGTACCTGTACAGTCCATGGACTCTTCTCCGGTACTGTACTGGCTGTTTGGAGCCTTTGTCTGGGACTTGTCCGCTGTCTCCGTTTCCCCATCCGAACCAGTGTGGGCAGAGGAGTTGGTGCTCATGGGGGAGCGAGGCATATCACCGAGGGGGAGTCGCCGGCCTCCTGCGCTCCCTCCCACCCCGGCCCCAGACAGCATGGTCCTGGCCAAAGAGATCTTGGGTGATGCTGTCATATCAAAGCTCAGCTTGATCTTCTCCTGTTTCTCGGGTTTGAGCGGGGTGGATGACGGGTTGGAGGGATCCAGCAGCATCTGGAAGTTGTTGTCGGGAGTGTACGGTGTCCTGAAGGGGGCATAGTTAAACACTCCGAACTTCTTCCTCATGTTCTCCACATAGACCTCCATCTCTTGCATGGCACTGTTGAAGATGCTCTTGGTCTTCTTCACGGAGAATGGAATCTCTTTGGACATGAGGTAGCAATTGTTTAAAGGCACCCAAGCCCTAAAAGGGATAAAGATTCACATCATGAACGAAGTGTGACAATGTGCCGAAGCAACTGAGTAACTGAAGCACGGAGGGCTGATACCTGTCATGCTGACCAAAAAAGCGAGCATCCACTTGTCCATCTTTGTCCCGCAGAGCTTTAGCGGGCCAGAATGGAAATCCTTTCAGTTTGGCCCACACTAGAGGGTGAGGGTTACTCTGCAGACACACAGTAAAACACTGGAACTGAGTGGTTGTATATTAGGGATCTATGCTAAAAACGGTAAACAATCGGGTGAAATCATCAACAGAAACTTCAAGTCACTCAACTAGCTTACACAAGGCTCACAGAACCAGTTGTCTCTCTTTTGGCAAGCAGACAGATAACACTCGGGACAAACTTCAATCTCATTCATCTGCAATTAAAGAATCAGAAGTTTCAGCTGTCACCTCTAGTGTTTCAAATCAATCAATGTAAATATAAAGGTATTTTCTTTATACCCACCTCATGTTCACAGATCTTAACTATGACTTTGGCTGTAGCCGTGAGTTTGTGATTGCCTGAAACAAGGACATACATTTATGTTAAACTATTTAAATACACATAAGCCAACATTATTGTTATATTATTGATAATCATTTGACAAAATTCTGTTCTCCAAATTAATCATTCTAAGGATATTGTAATTAAAAACTCACAAAATAATTAACTGACATCTGAGAATCAACAGTGGAACACAGTTGATTTCATTAATCAATTACATTATTCATGCCATTGTATGTTTTCTTTATCAAAAGCATGACATTGATTTAAACAGCTGGATTATTCTTAAATGTTATTTCCACACAATGAAACATACCTCCATTGTATATAATACAGTTGTGCAAAATCCATTTTGCATCTGCCAAGAAGGCCTCGGTGCAGCCGTACATCTTCTTTTTAATATTCTGCGGTGCAAAAAGACAAGATGGTGCCCGACTGACAAACTTTTTAACAGTGTTACATTCATACTATCAGAGAAGAATATGTGATAGCTTGTGGTTTACCTTCTCAAGTGTGCAAAGATCCATAGCGTGAAAAATGTACTCTGCGTAATCTGGATGCTGTTCGAGAGAGACAGGTTTCTGGAAGGGTTCGGTCTGTAGGATTGAGTGGAGAGAAAAGAAACATGAAGGAAAATAAACTCTCACTGCACAACCTTCCCCTCTACTGCACATGCTACCACCATGCTACTACTAAAAATTAAAAAAATCTAAAAGCCGCTTCAAACAAAAGCTGGAAAATCAGTGGAGGAAGAAATCATGATGGGGTCTTGTTAGTGTTGTAATTGATTACCCAATTAAAAGTCTTTCTCTGCGTGGAAGCTGCATGGGGGGAGCGAGATGACAAGCGGGGATGATCCTGAAAGAGAGTGAGAGGGGCAGCTGTATCCTCACCACCAGCGAGCATGTTTACCTTCATGGTTTCCAGCCATGACAGGCCCAATATAGCACATTGACTACGATTGTTAGTTCTGTTATTAAAAACAATTTTGCACATGCAAATCAATAATTTATCATGCTGGACTGAGAGGCAGATCTTCGGGGTGCAGATCTTAACATCTGGCACGACTGATGGAAATATGATGGTTGTGTAAGCAATCTAAAAAATTAGGACTGGCCAGAAAAAGAGCACATGCCAATATCTAGGTGATACATCTGAATGTACAATTAGAAAAAGGCAGCACTGAGAATAAACAGTGTACCCCATCTGTAATTAGACCGTCTGCCACAACACAATGCAATCAGTTTGGTAGCATGAATTCCCTAGAAAGACAGAGGGACCAGAGTACTTACACCTGGCTGTTTCATCTTCTGAAGGGCAAACTTTAGTAGGTAAGACAGCTGCTCTATAGTTAGCATCATCATGGCTTTGCTCTGAGTCTCTATACACTCAGCAACTGTTATTTTCTGAAAGACATCAAGAGGAAAATATTTGAAAACTTTGTTCTCAATCCCACAATTGCACAGAATGTTTGTGGTCTCAACATTTTCTCACTTACGTCCAATCGTACTGAGAGGCCCTCCGTTATTAAACAAATATCACCACAGGTATTTGACTAAAGGCTGTGAAATATGGTTTACAACAACCCTACACTGCACGTGTGCACATGTGGGCGAGTACCTCACACTCCGGACAGAACCAGTCGCCCTCGGGCTCGGCTGGTAGTTTGAGGCACTTGGCGTGGTACACCCTGGGGCAGAGCTCACAGCAGAGCACCTGGCCCTCGCGGTGGCACAGCCAGCAGTAGAAGTCGTTCCTGCCGTCCTGCGGTACAACATCAACAGGGTCTGTGGTGAGTGCTGGCTGCTTCACGTAGTAAAAGGGGCCGTGTCTTAGTTCTGACTGGAATGCGGGCGAAAAAAGAAAGACAAAGTTGGGGAAGGTCAAAATCAGAGCCAGAGATTAAAGCCAAGCAGACTAGCACAGCATCAAAAAAGAAAAGAGGCACACGTGTGTTACACACTATCTGGTTTTAGAACACAACCATCACCGATGTGCACACGGGTAAACAGTGTGGACAGCCTGGATTAAACTGGCAAGGGTTCACATAGTTCCAGCTGCTACAAATCATTTACGAAGGTCAACTTAATGCGTCAAGTGTAAGATACTAGCAATCATTTATCCACTGTGCACTTGTGAACTGCTTCACACACAAAGCAAGCTCAGCATGCATTTAGCACATTCTCAGATTACAGGGAATTTTACTAAAACGCTGCCGACTGAGAAAAACATTCGTTAAAATTCGAGGTGCACCGATAGCTTTCTATCAGACCTCAGAAAATACACCAAGTTACTAGTTCCAGTAGTATCCAATGCGATTGAACAATTACATAAGAATGTACAACAATATGGATTCATATGAGCAGACAATCCTAAACATAACACTGTAAGACACAGTGACATAACACGCTAATAGGCTATAGTGCAAGGAAATACTTCGATATTTAGATCTCCGTGAGAGGTGGAAATCACAAGGTAACCCCTGATATATTGGAATAATATCACAATATTTCGCCACTGATAGTGTCAGACTTACAACAGCAGAAATCAAATGTGTGTCAAAGTGCAAAGAGTTTCAGTTACATGACAATATTTTCCATTTTTCAAATGTCAAACAGCCACAAACTACCAAGAAATCCAACCGATCACAGTCAGTAAAAAGGACAAAAACACGGCTGCCTCAGGAGGCTATCACAAGATAATGCACCGTCATGTTTAGCAACAATACAAAGCAGGACACAATATCGCTTTGACCCAACACTGGTGAGAACGTTTATGACAAAAGGGGCTCATTTCAGAAGAACTGTCTACGTCTACGTTAAATGAATTTATTGAAAGAACCCCTGTCTGCTCCAACGGAGCGGCCAACAGTTAAGAGTGTGGTTATAGCTTCCAGCTGTTGCAGCTTCCAGGTGTGTGTTGATGTAGAGTATCCCTACAAAAGAACATGCAGTGAACCTACCCTGGATTAAAATACTGACAGATTATGAATTACTGATCACACATGGCCTTTATTAGCACCGATACCCATGCTATAGATTGTATCACCTACGATTATCATTCACTGAATTTGAGCGGCTGAATGTGACAGCTTCTATATTTTGATTCTTTTTTTATATCGCAGTTATGACTAACAATATAAAAGTAGATTGTTTTACACTGAATTTAACAGGATTTGGTATCCCAACACGTCCACAATATCTTGCTAAAACAAGACAGTATTGACCATAGTTTAGGGTAAAGAAAGTTCTTCTCTGCCAACTAAAGCTAAGAAAACACTTCCAGTATAAGACAAATTCAAAGAAAAGGAATACTAGCAGCAGACTGTGCAATAATGTCCTGCCAAGTAAGTTAAAAACACAACACAATTACAAAAAATAAGCAGGAAACTGAAAAAAATATTTGTAAATCTAATCTGGGGGTTAAACTAACCCAAACGATAACAAACAATGTTAAATATGTTATAGTACTTAATATGATTCAGTTGTAATCACTGAAAATAACACATTTGAATTAAATCTTTTTGGATGCAGCGAGCATCACAGAGTCTCATGGTCGATGGTGACAGCAGACATCTTAGACCTTCAGCAGGTAAAAACAAAACTCTCCACATTGGGGGTAAGAGCAGAACAACTTTTAGTGATTTGACTGAACTGGCCCTTTAAGCAACTGCATAAACTGTATATATTTTAGGCCTAGAGCTCTACCTCTTGATGAAAAACTTTGAGAAGTTGTTGTCTGAATATCAAAAGGCAGTCGATGGATGAGGTTGAGAGTGGTAGCTAGTTTAAATCCTCTTTCTCGTGACTGTTACCTGGTGTTTGCTGCTGCTAACAGCACCTGGTTTCTTCTTCTTCTTCACAGGGCAGGGGGATGTTTCAGCAGAGGAGTGACCATTCGATGAGTGAGAGGGACTCGGCATCTTTCGCTTTTGGGTCGCCCGTTCTGTTGGCGCCGTGTCTGAAACTGCACACAAAGAGGTCAAAAATTACACGAAAACAGTCAGGGCGCACTACTTTAATACCAGAGACGACACACCAGCGTTTTCCTGCACTCTCGCCACAAACAAACGCGTTAAGCTCTGTATGTTCTTACCCTTGGATCGTGTTGAGATCTCCATTCCTTCTGTTGTGATCTCAGTCTTCTCCTCTTCCTCTGCCACGCTGATGCAGAACAGATCAAAGGTTTACCAGTCAAACACAACCTACAGCTAAAGATTTCTCGTATACATTACTAATGTTATTATCATAAAGTTAAGGATGTTGTTTGAAATCGTTCTTTGGGACACCACGTTGTTAAGAGGTACGTTTCAACATAATAGCCTATTAGCCTAGTAAGCTAAACCGCCATTGACGGCTAGTTGAAAATAGTCACAAATAGTGTTACGTTTCCTCATCTAAGGCCAAATCTGAGCATTTTATTTTACCAAACACAACTGATTGTGTCTGGTAAAATCCAAACGATCATTAGTGACCTCCAGCTGTGTGCATGTAAACATGTAAATGCTCAGTTTTTCAGTCTTATGACTGTAATACATTTCTTCAAAAGTTTGTTATTAAACAGGCTCACCCACTTCTTAATGCAATCCCCCTTCCTACTACAATGAGGTTATTCTGTACGAGAAAGGTCAATTTTGCCAGCAGGCTGTCTCTCGACATTAATATAATTCTGGTTCGATTTTGGCGCCCAGTTGGTACCAGAAGCATCATAAAGCCTCTGTTAAAATTCAAACCACTACATCTGACAAAGTGCTGTGCTTATAGCATAGGTTTCAAAGGCTTACAGATATAAAGGCAGTGAATGAAGTTATCGCCAGTAACGGGGTGCTAGATCGTGTCCGTGAATGATCACATTTATTGTCCGGGACGGTGAAATACTGAGAAATGTCGACTGTGTGCGGTTGACAAAAACACTGTTTTCAACGTTTTCTACTCTGCTGAAGGTTTCATGATTTCAATAAAGACATCCAAACAATTACCACAAAATAAAAGAACTACTGCTGCATGACGACAACTATAAAGAGTCTCCAGAATACCTTATGCCAGACAAGTAATGTATTAGAAGTGTCGCGATAGACCGGTATCGCCAATAACCAAAATGTTTAAAAAATGTAATATTGATATCATGTAAAAAAATATACATATGATGTTGTGTAAACAAGGCACCTGATTTTGTACAGTTATAGTTACAGACTCTCTCTCCACCTCCCAAAACGCATACTTTGAGTGTAATTCCTTTGCCAAAAAAATCCCGACATTACCTTTATTGTGAAATCTTTTGGCCACGATAATTGTGTAGTAAGATCAGATATTTTGACAGCGCCATACTGCATAGACAATACTGATAACATAGCAATGGTGTCACTCAAACCATACATCAAAGGCTTAAAAACAGCTCTGAAGTAGAACTAGACCGCAACTTGGTGTCTTCTAAATGTTGACAACATTTTAAACTCAATTAAAGCAAAAGACGACCGGTCCTGAGACAAATGCAGCTCGATGTGCAGGGCATTCCCAATCCTAAACAGCAGGCACCACAGATCTATAAATAGTAAACATGACAAACACAGAACAAAAGAATCTGCAGTGGCCGAAAACCTTCTGACATCCAGAAAGTAAAACGCATGTAAATTAAGTGTTCCCTGCTGTTTTTTTAAAACAACCACATAATAGTCATTGATCATGTGACCTGATAACGGGCAGCATATCACAGGGATTGCACAATCGCAGTCCGAGTCCTTTTAGAGAAGCAAGCCACAACGTGCTGTGAACCACCTTCATTCAAAGTCTGCCCAACAGGTTTTTGTTCTCAGTATCAGTTCAACACGATTCACCTTGGTTCGCCCTGTTGTCGATCCTGTTATTGTGATTGCCATTTTCTCTGATGCCACAGCAGTTGCACCGGCCTCGTCGGTCGGATTGGCTTCAATTCTGCCAATTTCTATTTCACCCACTCCCGAGGAAAGCCCCGTTTGAATGTTTTGCGTGAAGAACAGTCAGGCATTGACTGAAAACAAAAATATACTGCTTCCGTTTCAGTAATCTTGTTCACGAAGACCCCCCCCCCCCCCCCCCCCCCCTGCTCCTCCATCACTACAAGAAGGATGAACATATCAGGCAGGAACACAGCACATCTGCAGAGACAGTGTGCAGTGAAATGGCTTCACTGGCCTCCTCCTCTAACCTGTCTGGACAGCCTCATACAATCTAACATCCTGTCACGTCCAGAGCAGGAAACACAGCAGCAGAAGACAAAGAGAGAGCCATGGGACAGGCACAAGGACACAAATCAATACCACTCAATCCTGACAATGACATTTCTGAACCAAAGACCACAGAGCACACAAACAGCCTATTATAACCTACACACCCCTTTCCACACCCACCATTGCCACAACATCCATGCTTCAACGTAGGAAATTCAACAAGCATACCTGTTTTGTTTTTTTCTTCCTTACTCACATACAGATTCTTCAGCCTATTCTTTTAATCTTTTTTTCAATTATTGAGGGCGTAGGGGGGATGAGGGGAAACGATGGGTCCAGGTTTCCCAGAAGGCCTTCTCTCTCCCTGCTGCTCTCTCCTGCAATTGTCAATCTTTAACCTCGGCTGCAGGCTGCCGATTGGCTCGAGCGCCACACGGAGGAGGCTGATTGGGCGCTCGGCTCGGTGTGCCACACGGGCTTCTCTTCTCCCCGCTCTCCTCAGCCACAGTGCTGCAATGCAGAGAGGACTGGTCCTCACTGTTGCTTAAAAAAACAACACAACCAGAAAACCCGAGTCTGTCACTCTGTTGAAAAGCCCATGCAGACACACACCGGACGTGTGTCTTTTATCAGATATGGAAGACGCAGCTCCTGACAGGGAGAGGATCAGATTCCCTCTCTCGCTGCTGTGCTCTCAGCCGGTGTATGTGTGTGGCATCCATTTTGAACACACACTCTCTCTCTCCCTCTCTCTCCCCCTCTCTCTCCCTCTCTCTCTCTCACTCTGACCATTGTGCACACCGCACACGCGGCACGTACACACGGCACCAGTCGAATCTGCTGTAAAAGACCACATGCAGCTTATTATGTGCCCCAGCATGTTGATATGCAGCATGGGCCTAATGCTGGACACAAAGAAAGGACTGAAAATGTCACAGGCCTCCCAGACAGCATGGACGGCACAACCCCCCCCCCCCCCCCCCCTTCCTTCCCTCCCTCCCTCGCTCTGCAATGCTTCTTCAACATATACTGTATCATAATCAATATCTGCCTGGAGATTCAAGTGTGAGCAAGAGTAAGCCGGCAAAAACACGCACATACAACTGAGAGCGTGGCTGTACATTGTCCCATCTTTCTGTGGGAAGGTGAATCTGTTTGACCAAATGTGTGCCTCTCATTTAATCACTATAGAACTCAACATTGGTACAGATTCAGGGCAACGCAAGTATGTGCCACAGACACACACACACACACATCAAGGCCAACTACATTATCTACGCAGGTCCAAGAAGGTCAACTGGTGGATATTTTCAAAAGGCAGACACCCAACTGAAGAGGCAGTGAGTGTCGGTCTACACCACAGTGGAATGAAGAGATTAGACGAATTACCAAGCACCATTCACAAAACACTGAGGAGGGGGATTTTCAGTCTCAGTCAATGCAGCCTGCTTCTGAACTCTGGTCAAGCAACATTATGTGCGCCATTACATCCAGGCCATAGTTCTCCTGGTTGTATTTACAACAGAGCCTTTATCACACACCCTCCACTAATAATTACAAAAACAACCTGGAGAATATCAAAATGTTCAAGAATAAAATAACAATTTTGATCATTAAAGAAATTCTTTATCTGATTCATGCACACAGAAAACCAAACACCAACATCTATATATATATAAACATAATTCAATCCAACCTTGTCGACTTCAAACAGGCTGTCAAGCCTCTCTGGATGAGATGAGGTTTCTATGCAGAGCCTTTTCAGAGGAAGTCCTTCCCCTCTTCTTTCCTTCTCTCTCACATACAAATACTCAGTGTGCTTGGAGCAGAGGGACAGAAAGGGGAAGCTCTCTAAAATGGCTGACACTCGGCAGCAGAGAACAACACTGGGAGGCAGTGCACACCATTAGGCTCGGGCAATTCCCTCCAACCCGGGGATAAATAAGCTGCTACGACATATTTAGTCCGCCGATAATTGGTATTTTAGTAAACTGGTGAGCAGCTTACAGGTTTAGGCCGGTGAAAAGCTTCTTTTTTTTTTTTTATTCACCCAGTAAAAGAAACCTAATCAAGGTGAGGTGAAGTGGGTTTTAGGTGAGTGTGGGAAAAATGAAGACAACTAGGTGACCCTACTGTCGTTTTCTTCATTGCCATGTTGGTCTGGCAAACAATTAACGACCTGCCTTGCCGTGGTGCCAGATTGAGGCCTAAATTAAACTTGCTGCGCTGTCACTTTACCATCTGCTAATTCCTCGGGGGACTCCCCTCTGCTCTGCTCCCTGTCTCTCCCATCCTGCCCGGGTCCCTCACCAGGCCTGCCATCTTGTCGGCAGAGGCCAGTGGGCAGCCACACAAACTCAATCCTCTTTTAGATCTTGAGAAAAGAAAGCAGGTTGCAGTTAGTGTCCTATGAATCTAAAATGACCTCACACTTGACCTGTGGGCCCCCTACTGTGTGTGTCCAGGCGGCCAAACCAGTTAGCAGAGGCAGTATATGTTGCACTGTGCCATGCTATGCTCTCCTTCCAAGCTCCACTCCTGTGCTGTGGGGTGACAAACACTCTTCCCCCTCCCCCAGTCTGTCAGACAAACCTGTATTATTGCTCAGCCACACACAGTGGCTGGTGCCTTATCAACAGTGTTGTGTGTGTGTGTGTAAAAGAATGAAAATAGGGCTTACCTCTGTGGATGCATGGCTACAAACTCTGTGTGATATGTCAATGCTTGTTAAAACATGGAGGACAGCCCTGTCAGCCCTTCACCCTGCTCACAGCACAGCCACGGCTCTCCAAGCTGTCCGACTCACCGCTCCGATGTAAGGCACACTGAGACTGGCCACGCGTGCTGGCAACATGTAAGGCGGCTGCTGATTGGCTAGTGCATTTCCTGGTTGCTTGTCTTTTGTTTAGCACGGGCAAGCTAAAAAAACGCAGTGCTCAGAGCAAGAGGAGCTAGGCCCGGAGCAAGAATAGTCAGCCTCTGCACAACTTTCAGCTATCAAGAAGACTGTATACAGCTGTTATTGCTTCCTAAACTTGCTATAAAGTAGGTGCAGCTATGAGGGGTAGTCAGCAGATGTGCACACAAAGAACAGGCCCTTGGCTCCTAAGGAGGAATTTGCCTCACTAGTTCCCACCCTCAAACTCAAGCAACCGTCAATGGGCAAGATACAACCTGCTATATGAATAAAAGCAAAGTGTAAACAGGCAATAGGTGAAATGTATACTCTGTTTCTTTGGCCTATAAAGGTTTAACAACAACTAAGTTACAGTCGTGATTTGCCTGACACTGGCTCTTGAACTGGTCTGGTCACATGTTACCAAGGTGTTTCCACATAGGCCACAGTTCTACTGTTAAAGAAACAGTGACTTTCAGTTTCTGGTATACCGTTCCGCCACGGGGCATTATTCAACTCGATTCTAAATGACTTGTATGGTACCTCAGAATATATTGTACGCACAGATCGCCTACATTTGTTGCAATTTTTTTTGACATTTTAGAGGCTTCTTGTTTTCTCTTTTGTTTGCCTCGTGTATATCTTTAGAAAATGTGATCTTACATCAACATTATTACAGATCAGAACTTTACTTTTGAAAAATAATTTCACAAAAGACAAGGAGGAAGTGTCATGTTGACAAATGTTAGCAACGCTTTTGCAATATATTCTCACCAAATCATTTTGTTAAAAATAAGCTATTAAAGTCATTTTTGACCGATTATCTGATATGATAGGTTATCTATCACTTCATGCAGACATAACGCATGCTGTTGTTAATGTTGATCCCTTACATATTTGGTAAATTAGATTTAGGGGGAGACTTAGTATTGCTTCTCTGTCGGTAAAACATCATATGCTGTTTGTTTCACTTGACAGTAATGATAAGTATACTTTGCTTTTTCTAAGACTTGGCTGTTGAGAGGAACCTGCCTGCACTGTTGGCTTCTCTTTCTACAGGAAGAAAGACAGCAGCGGCCTCTTGTGGCAAAACTTAGTAGTAACAGCTCAGTACACACTAACCCAGAGATTCTCAAAAGTTTTCATATCAAAGAACCACCGAATAAATAAATTTACCAAGGAGCCCATTTGGTAACATTAGTTTAAAAAGGCCCACAGATTGATACAAGAGGGGAATGCATGAGAGAATAGAATGTATGATGGGTTATAATGGGTGAAGCCTGGATCAATGGAGTCATCCTGTAGTTTTAATAACAGTTTGAACTACCTGTTAAATATTTAATATTACTGGAAAAAGCAAATCCTCATTTAACTGGTGTGAAATGGTCTTGGGCAGTCTGTGTGGGTTGTCAGCAAAGTAAAGGATATCTATTTTAGTACAACGTCTAACTAACTGTTAAACTACAAAAAGGTAAGACTTGCTTGGTTTAGCTAGTCTCTGCTGCTAGCTAACTAGCTAAATTGTAGCTAAAGTGAAAAAATGTGGCTAAGCTTATTAACTTGATAAACTAGCATCAAAGTTGCGTTTCTTACTCTCAACCAAGGTTACTTTATGTAATTGGGAAGCGTTTCACACCAGTTAATGGTAACATTAACATACCTGAGTTGTAATAGAACCTTAATATGCTGTTTGTAATTAGCCACGAGCTTCTGCACAAAACACACAAAACAGGTTAATATGCGTCGTCTAAGGATCATTTACTGGATGTTTTAACGAGGAAATAAAATTACTCTGGTGGCACCACACATGTAAAAAAAGAAGCCTTACCAGGTTGTAATTGTAAACATTATGTCACCCTTGTCTGTCTCCACTAGGAGTTACCGTTTGGTGTCCAGTCAGTCTGCAGACGGTGAGCTTAAGAAGTTGTCGACCGGTAACGAGCCCCGCAGTCCCCAAGATGGCGCCCTATAGCGAGACGGTGACCGCTCCGATCAGACATTGAAGAGCTTTAAGTCTTTCTTGGATTCAAGGCCTTGAATACAATATATGTGTATGTGGTTTTAGGAGACTGTTTTCATATCTTTAACACTCTTTTCTCATTTATCAGTATCAATATTTCATTATTTTCACGAAAAGTCATGACATTTATCAGAGTTTCCATTGAGGAAGGCATACAGTTAACCCACAGAAAGTTATGTACAGATAAAGGTTTCTTTTATCCATTGGTTGAGAATTAGACATGAGCCCATGACTTACTGACTTATGGTTTTGGAGGCAATGAAACACTTTCATGTTGCCATGTAGGGCATCTTAAAAGAGACAAAGTCAATGGTTTTTGTTGTTGTTGTTTTTCAATTCCCACAAACAAACACGTGATTATATGATATGGCTCACAATCATTATCTGGTTACCAAAAAGGAAAATATAGACTACTCTCTCTCTCTCTTTTTCTGTGTCTTCAACTGAGTTTAAGGGACTTGATTTGAAAAGTCTTAAAGTTATTTACAATAGAGAAGCCAGAGGAAATATATCAACGATTTGCATATAGATTATACCCCTTTCATGTTTTTATTTTTGATAAAACAATTAAAATTCCACCAGCAACTGATGAGACAATCAATGTGTTTTACTGAACTTTTGAACTCGTTCACATTTTTAGACACAGGATCATGGAAAATGCACTTTTTGTCAACCTAGATTTTATATTTCACACTCTTTATTGTCGTCTGTCATGTTTAGTCATAACTTGTGTTATAGCTGATAATGTTGTGCAAGATGTGTTTGTGCTTTATGCATCTAGTGTTGCGGATTTGAGGGATGGGAACAGGCTTGGTGAAAAGAAAGAAAGAAAGGCATGCTGTTAGCTGTTTGCAGGTGAACTAATCTGAATGCATTAATGATTATGGGGCTATCTCCTGTCCTTTCAAACTGTTATCTCCTGTCCTTTCAAAGTAGAGAGGCTGCGTAGGGAGGGGGGGGAGGGGGGGATGGGATAAAGTGTCTCACACTCATTGAGGGGGAAGGTCAGTTTGCCGTGTTTTGTGGGGGAAGGGGCACAAACAGAGGGCCACTGGGCCCCCCTTTGGGTCTCCATGGAATGTAATTGAGGTTCCGTCGCTCAGGAGGACATACAAACACCAAAAACACCCAACAAATAATGCACAAGGTTTTTATGTTTTACTTTTTGTGATGTCATTATGTCATGAACACAACACTAGCAAACAATCTGATCTGGATGAACTATGTGTAATCATGTTTTGCATCAATATGGTGAAAATGCTTGTATGCCTTATTATCCTTCACTACCAGCTGTAACACGTTTGGGAGTAGTCCTACTAGTCTGCTATAGATTTTTCTGATTACATTTTTTTGAATTGGTTGCACAACATAAAATGCTGTGACTTTGGTAATGAACCTCCTCAGCAGCTACGCTTTATCCAAAACAAAACACACCCTTTCTCTTTTTTTTTCCACCACCTCAAAGTTTTTCAGAGGATTGCAGAAAGTTCAGGCAAGAAAGAACAAGTAAGGAGCTAATTACCTATAGTTTTGAACTCGTCTCTTCTTTACTCCCTTAACCCCCCAACGTCCTGCTGCTCTTCCTCCATCATTGGCCCTCACTCTCTCCTTCTTAGTCAAATTTAAAAACTTGTGTGCCTGGGGATCACCATGGAGACAGCTTCTTCCATCCTCTGTTGCTACTCAAGGGGCGATATGGCACAGCGGCTCCGCACTCACTCCGATTAGTATAATTGACACTGGACCCAAAATCTGTGGGACATCAGGCTGCACATGTTGGGATTAGAGTCAGTGGCAGTTACTTTATAACTGAAACATCAAGGTATTAAAAGGCATACTCTGATATTCTGATTAACAATATAGAGACCATATGTCATGATTGCGAATCCATATTTGGCAATTATATTTGTTCCTGCTTAATGCAGGCCATATTACATACTATATACATTTTATGTGGAAAAATATAAATTGTAATGGCATGTAAAGTGAATAACATAATAACGTAATACTCTAGGGGTATGATAAGTCATTTGCATGAAGCTGCTTTTCTGCCAGCCTATAAATAAGTTTTAAATCTCTCCCCTAATAATATCAGTCACTGGCTGCTCATATCGCCTATGGGTATTGGTGCGCGTGTAGTTCGTTCGCAGAAACGTGTCAAGCAGTTCGAGTTGCGGCTCGCAAAGGAAAGCAACTGCATTACCCAGAAGTCACTGCGCTCCGCTTACAAGCTGGCTCCCTCCGCTTCTGGGAGTGTTTCGCATTTAAACAAACACGGTCCTGCTGAAGATGGCGGAGAGTTTGTAGAGGCGTAAAAAAGAAACTGCTCTACTCAATGAAAGCATCGAAGCCGGTGAGTTTTCTGCGACTAGTTTGTGATTCTATTTATTACCAAGTTTAAAACCCAGGCGGTAGCGCGTGTTTTCAACGTGCACATTTGTCACAGAGACAGTTGTGTGTGTGTGTTGCTCCGCTTCTGAGCAGGCTGTGGGTTTTTTTCTGAGCTATATACGGGTGATACAACGAACCATCTCACCACTGTCTCGTTTGTTATGGAATGTCTGTTGTGGAATTATCGTCCTCCTAAAGTAGCAATAAGACGAACATTTTGCGTCAAGTCTCGCTTGTTATTGCGCCATTTGTATCGTTTTTCTTCTTCTTCTCCATTATCGGCTCGCTACAAAGTTTACGAGACACAGGCTCTCTGATTCGCTGGAGGTGCGATAGCCGAACGTTAGCTCTTCATCTCTGCTTCATAGAAGTGAACTCGTTGGTGTTTTTAAAAATCACAATGTGAACTTTGTAGAGCCGCATGGTTGTGTATCATTATCCCACATCACAGCGGAATGGCTGTTTTTTGTTCATTTTTTGTATCGGACTTGCTCCACAGTTTCGGTACAACGGAGAGCTGCAGGAGTCTCCTGTGTTCACAGCTAACGTTACACCGCAGTAGTAGGCTTGTGTAACAAGAAAAAAATGGTTTATTAAAAGGTTTATTGCTCGTTTTGTCGATCCTCCACCGTGAATGCAGTGCAGGGTACACACGGTGTAATGTACCTGCATTGTGTGTGTGTGTGTGTGTGTGTCACATAGTTTTTCTTTTCCTTTTTAATTTCACACCAAGAGTGTAGCAGCATCTAAACAAACAGCAACACACTAATGTAGTCAAGTCACATGACACGATAGACGCACAAAATTGTCTTCTTTTTTTTTGTTTTTGAAAATAAGTCACATTTTCTTGTTGATTTTATACATATATATATATATATATTCATGATGTCACCATTAACCACCTTGTATTCCTCACTTCTGACGAACCAAACTTGAACTGACTTGGCTCAGCAGCAGCGTGGCTGCTCTGGAGAATCCACAGCATCTGTTATGTATCTGCACGGCTGTAAATGACATTACGTATACCGTGATTGTAAATGGGTGGTATATAATGGCCAGTCACAGTATGATACATGTTTGTGTTTTCACCCGCTGATGAATCATATGTAGGTGTGTGTGGGTGTGAGACAGACAGACAGACAGGCAGACTGGCAGGCAGGATGAGATGGATGTGTTTCGGTGCAGGGGGAGGACGATCGCTCACAGGGTTCAGGTAGAGTCCAGGTTTGCGTTCACTCAGTTTTTGTGAACCAGTTTAGGAGAACATCCTTGGAGAGCGTGCACATGTGGAGGCAGAGAATGAGGAGAGGTGGGTTAGTCATTCCTGTGAAATGGTTGAGGTCTAGGTGTGCTGTCGCTCTCTCTCTCTCTCATCGCCCCGGGGCCATCCCTGCCAATACTTGCAGGCTATTAACAGCTCAATGCACATTTGAGAGTTTCAGAGGTCATTGAGGTGTATTTGTCACGTTACTACACGGTCTGGCTGCCTGCTGAATGATGAACGTTCCTGCTTCTTATGATTTCATGCAGGCCACTCATTAGATAACAATGTGGGGATGCAAATGGGAAAGAACAAGGGAGAGCGATGCTGCCGTCAGAAGAGCTAACTTGTCTTTATTTTGAGGGGCCGATGGAATGCCATTACTCAAAGCCTACCGATGTGGCATTTTTTTTTTGTGAGTGGTAGAACGACCACTGTGGGAACCTGTCCAATGAACTGCTTCTGCTCATATTCTCAAATGGAGCCCCCTTCCCCCCCCATTCTCTGTCCCTTTTATCTCCCACTTTCTTTCTCCCTCACACAGGGTGTCAGGCTGCGTTAACAATGAATCAATCTTTGGGGGGGATTCTTTGACTGCAGATGGGGTGAAGAAGTGACCGGGGATGCATGGCTTTCGCTCTTTGTCTGTCAGCCCCCGAGCTCTCAATAATTCATTAACTTATCACTTTTTCTCATGGGACTGGGAGAAGTCTCTCTCTGGTGGCAGATTCTGTGGTTATGTCGGATTCCCTGATTTGATCATTCTATGAGCGTGCGGTTAGTGCCACTGCTGATATTTAGTTATTACTCATAGACGTTGGCTTTTGATGTTGTTAGCATCCTTGTCAACAATACAAAAGTGTAAAAGAAAATATTTCGTTTCAGAGATAGTATCCAAACATTCTTAGGAAGCTAATAAATCTGAAGATCAGGCATGTCACAAAATACATCTGGAAATATTTGGATGTGTTCAGTGACATCTGTAGCTCCCTGAGTCTGGTAATGTTTGGACATTGTTCATTATGACTCTGTGTCCAGTTCTCCTTTTTGAGTGCCGTCTCCAGCCAGCTGTATTTGTAGTGTAGTGTTCAAACTGGATTCCTGAAGTCTGTACGCTGAATCAGAAATCATGCTTCTCAATGAAGTTCTTACGAATTTGGATCTGTGTTTTTTTTTTTAATAATTAAAATCTTGGGTAAATGTCGCTGCTATGTGGTTGCATTGAGTTCAAAATACTGGGTGGTGTCATCAAAAAAGGAGGAAAAATAAGCGAAGCGCTTGCCTCTTAATAACTGTCTCTAATCTGTCTTTGTCAAGCTGCATTTTTGCGTCGCCGATGTCTGAATACACGGCATTCTTTGAGAGGCAGGGAGACCGAGATAAAATGTTTCGTTTCGAGTAACTTGCCCGTCGGTCATGTGACGGGCCCGTGTGTTCCGTTTAAGATGAACGGCTGTGCGGGTGAGCGGTGTCTTGATGACACACGGAGCTGAAAGCAAAGCCTGATTGTTTCCCCTATAATTGAAATATGACTCTGCAGTCCCTTTGTGTTAGACAGCAGTACAGGTAGGGTGAGCTTAGTCGAGTTGCTGCCTCTGACGGATAACTTGTCATTTAGGGAGAGTGTAGATCTTTACATTTCCCAGTTTACAACCGAGGTTTGAGAAAGTTTCCTGTGGTCAGCTCGGGCTGTGTAAAACATCCTGTTCAGCCCCCCCCCCCCCCCCGCCGTCTCAAGGTCACTCCCGCGGTGACGGCGATCCGTCTTTGTGTTTTGTCAAAAGTGAACAGCCATCGCCGGCGTGGCACTTCTCAACCCGGTAGGCCTACCTCTGCGTGGAGCTAAATATAGAAAACGCTGCTCAACAAGACAGTCGTGTTTCCACTGCTAAAATATTTACAGCTACTTCGCCCAGACGAGTGAGAGTGACAATATGAGAGGAGAGCTCCCGAAAACCAGATTGTTGTTCACTGGTCGGAGGAAGCCAGACAGTTTGTACTCTGACTCCATTTGAAGTCCCGTCTCATTCACCCCCCCCCCCCCCCCCGGTCGCCTCTTCTTCAACTCTGAGGTAATACCCGAGTGTTGGGCTTAGCTGAGCCATATGGGAGCCATGCACACTTCTGAAAAGCCAAACGGGCAGCCTGAAGCAATCATTGCACCCAATTCCAGTTTATAGCCAGCGAGGATTTGGAACAGTTCACTCTCTGCAGTCCTCCTTGATTGGACGAAGGCAAGAGTTTATTAGGGAACGGGGGGTGCCAAGAGCTTTTGTCCCCCCCCCCAACCTACCCCCTCCTTGCCCTTCCTCTTTAACTTCAACTCCCCCTTTAACTTTCGCTCCCCCCCAGCTAAAGAATGCTCGTAAAAGGGGTTCACCTGAACGAGCCAGTGGGAGGGTATAGCTCCCTGGCCTAGTTTTGTTACCATTGTAAAATGTTAGCAAGACCTTGTTTGTGTTTTTTTTTAGAGCCCCCCTTTATAAAAAAAAAGAAAAAATGCTTTAAGGGGGAGAGACAAGGGTGAAAAAAAGTTTGGTTTGTGAGATAACTGCTACCAGATGCTGTCTCTGTCTGTTATTCAGCGTAGAGAGAAGGAGAAAGAGAGGCTGTGTGAGGAGGGGAAGAGAAAGGACACAAACTTCTCAACTTGTTACATGGACACTCTCCATCTTCTCCCTGTCTACAGCTGTGTATACTCTTCCTCCATTATATACACACAAATTAAAAAAGGGTGTGTTAGCACGGGCAAAGTAGTTACTTTGCAACCAAAACAAAAAGATGCTTTGGAGAAATAGAACAATGTTAGATGGTTGGTTGTGTTTATCCCTTTGTTTACGTCACGCTCCTCTTCCTCTCCGTGCATCTCCGAGATGAACCGGTTCCACGTTGGATGTCTGTGGCAGTGGGGTGTGGTTTCTTGGTCCGTGTGGATTGAGAGGCAGCCGTGGCTGGCACAGCGCCGCAGTTTGCCAGCTGCAGGAGGATGTGTGTGTGTGTGTGTGTGTGTGTGTGTGTGTGTGTGTGTGTGTGT